AGGAATCCCTGTAAAAAAAAAATAAAAACAGAACATGAGAGGGTTACCCATGGCTAGCAATTGTTAAACTCCAGCCAGTGCATACTCATGGCTGGTGATTTCAGATTCATCACATGGGTTTAAACCATCCTGTTCTATGGTTTGTCTGCAATCTTATTATTACAACCCCTAGTATAACATGCACGGTTCACACGGACTTGAGTAACATTACTATGGTAGGCAAACACTGCAATATTGCAGGTCCGTATTTTACTGCAAACTTCCAATGTCATCTGGTGACTATTTTCACTTCAATTAACTTGAATTAAATGGCCAAGTGCTAAAACATAGTGCAAACTTTAGAAAGAATGTGAAAATATTCACTATCAGAAGTCTGAATAGGACATAAAGTACATAGAAAAATCCTCAAGTTAGGTATTTGCCAAATTTTACAAAACCTTTGTTTGGAAATACGAAAAAAGTATCTTGACATATAATAATATCTCTTTATTTCACAGTACATGAACAGGTACAGACCATAGTTGACTCATGACATACTACTATATACAAACTGTTTGTATGCTGACATTTCCGCAAATTAGGTAGTTTGTCCCGGATGCGACACACACCAGTCCACTAACATTCCAGTACCTATTTTATACTGATGGGTGACCAGGGACAGTAGGTGTCTTATGGTAACACATCCCTAATATTTTCCAGCCGTACTGGAGGAGATTCGCTATGGAAAATTTCATAAACCACAAAAATATAAATAAATTCTCTGGAAGATTTCATAAACTACAAAAAATGTAAATAATAATAATTACTAATATAAATAATAATAAATAATAGTATAACCAATAATAAATGTTAGTTAAACCTCCCCTACATAATGCTTGCTAATTAGCTTACTAAATAGCATTCAAAAAGAGGCCCGTGGCCTGGTAGAACAAGCTCTCCCTTCACACGCTGAGGATCCTGGTTCGATTTCCGGCGAGGGTTGAAACATTGGGTGTGTTCCCTTACACCGGTTGTCCATGTTCACCCATCAGTAAAATAGGTACCTGGGTGTTAGTGGACTGGTGTGGGTCGCATCCTGGGACAAAACTGACCTAATTTGCGGGAAATGCTCAGCATAACAAACAGCTTTGTATATAGTAGTATGTCATTGATGTCAACTATGGTCCGTATACCTTGTACATGTAGTAAATAAGGATATTATAATGTAAATTACCTAGGATAACCCAAAAGATTAAGAAGAGAAGCAGAGCCTCACCTGAAGGTGGTTGAAGTGGAGACTGGAACAAGTAGTGAAGCCAGGGAACACTACTGTAATATACGTATATTGTACAATGATCGTGTGCTGGACCTGTACCTTGTACGTTGATGCTCCTCACCACTACCACCCTTCACTCCCACCCATTCTCTTTTGTCTACATCATTTAATCTGTCCTGCCTTCCCGTTAATACACTCGTATAAGCGTGAAGGCGATTTAATCAAAATCGAAGATAACAGTTCTGTGAATCGAGTGTTATGATAAGATTTTTTGTTGGATTGCTAGACCTTTCACCTCACACACTGACGTTCGGGTGGTCGATTCTCTGCTAAAGCAGCAAAATTAGGACATTTAAGACACCTGCTGTCCATTTTAATTATTATAATCAAAGAAAGAGCTAAACCGACAAGGGTCACTGTCCATGTTAACGGTGGCTAAAGCTCTCGCTTCACACACGGAGGAGCCCGGGTTCGATTCCCGGCGGGGTGGAAACATTTCGAAGTTTTTCCTTACACTGTTGACATGTTCACCTAGCAGCAAATAGGTACCTGGGTGTTAGTTGACTGGTGTGGGTCGCATCCTGGGACAAAACTGACCTAATATGCAAGGGACTTTCTATATAGTAGTATATGTCATTTATGTCAGCTATGGTCTGTATACCTTGTATATGTAATTGTACAAATAAAATATTATTATTATTATTCATAAATTCGGCATCTCAAGGACAAGTCATATTTTGTTAGGCAACCTTTTACATGCTATTTTTATTTTGCATCAACAATAACCAAGAAACTTAGCCCAACCTTTCCACGAATTTCCGTAATATAAAATAGATAAGACTTATAGATAGATAAGAAAATTGGACGCATTACTTAGGCTGCCATCATTTATACGTACATGTATGTATTGTTGAAAAATGAAAAATGAACATATACATGTGTGTACTCACCTATTTGCGGTTGCAGGTCGAGTCACAGCTCCTAGTCCCTCCATTTCTCTGGTTTTGTGAGCGTGTACCCGCACATGCCCGTTAATAGCCATTTTTATATTTTTAACGTATTTCTCTAGCAACTAATTTTCCAGGAATAACAAAGCTCTCCAATATAGAGGTAATTATGTTGTTGCTATGTGGAGGTGTGAGAAGACTTGCTCAGGACGCGACACGTAGCTTGATGTGGCACTGCTGCATTATCATGGGGGAGAGCTAAACCCGTAGGATTATGCAGCGCAAGGGAGGGGTGTATGGAAGGTATTCAGGGAACCGAAGCACAGATCTAATTCCCTTGATCAAGAGCCCCTCACCAGCATCAAAGAACCTCCCTTGAGAGGGGTGGTGATTGTTGGGGAAGGTGGAGGTGCCTCGGGAATGTCATGGTAGGTGTAGAGGTTACCTGGAGGTTACTTGGAGGTTACCTGGAGGTTATTCCGGGGATCAACGCCCCCGCGGCCCGGTCCAGGAAGGTAGCTTGGAGGGTTATCTTGGATTACTAACCCTCCAGGTTAATTATCATAATAAAATCTTACTTCTTTTGTTGTGTTTTGTGGCAAGTAGCTGGTTTGCTCCCCCCTATTCCTCGTACATTAGGGCCTTGATACATAAGAGAATAAGAATTCTTCATGACTTAGACGGTGCTCTTCACACCAAGCCTGTGGGACTGATTACCTCAGCTTTTGTATATAGTTCTACTCTCTTCAAATCATGTCCTAGAATTTGTATTGATAAAACCACTGGATGGCGAAACGTCTACATTAAAGATACCCAGTTGTTGCATATGTGTCTAATTTACGTCTTGTCGGTATTGAATACTATTCATGTACAGGATGTAGCGAGTTACTGGAGCAGATCGTGCAGAGATTGTGTGCTGGACCTGTACTGCCTCTCAGGTTTTATAACAGGGATTGTAGATGAATGGTTCAGAAAACCGACACGTTGATAAATTAGACACATGTGCAACTCTTGGGTATCTTTATTGAGGAAACGTTTCGCCACACAGTGGCTTCATCAGTCCATACATAGGAGAAACTTGAAGAACAGGAGAATGAGGTAATCAGTCCCTCAACCTTGAGTCTATGTGGTCAGTCCATCAATCTTGAATAGAATAAAATGATTCTATTCAAGATTGATGGACTGACCACATCGATTCAAGGTTGAGGGACTGATTACCTCATTCTCCTGTTCTTCAAGTTTCTCCTATGTATGGACTGATGAAGCCACTGTGTGGCGAAACGTTTCCTCAATAAAGATACCCAAGAGTTGCACATGTGTCAAATTTATAACAGGGATTCTCAAAGTTTCCTCCATCACTAACCCCCTGGGCTTGTTGTATTTCTCCATTTACCCCCTTACTTCCATACAAAAAAATTATCGCCATCATAAAAACAAGATAAAAAAAATAAATTATTCAGGTTTTGCACAAAAATAGCACACAAATATTTATCCCTCGCCATGTAATTTCTTACCTCCCCCCACCGGGGGTAAATTTACCCCTGGTTGAGGACCCCAATTCAAATAGGTCACTGACTTTTTTGGGTTATCCTGGGTTCTCTACACACATGCTGCTATGTATGATAATCTATGTAACTGTATTTGTGTATACCTGAATAAACTTACTAATATTTCCCTCCATCCCTCGTCCTCCCATCAGGTATCCCTCCTTAACATCAAATCAATCAAATCAAAGTTTATTCTCTATAAGGATTACAATGTGATGAATGGTTTTGAAAACCGACAAGTTGAAGAATTGAGACACTTATGCAACACATGGGAATCTTTATTAAAGATTCCCATGTGTTGCATAAGTGTCTCAATTCTTCAAGGATTACAATGCTGAGTTTACAGAATTTGGTTATTGTGTGGTTTACATGTAATAAAATACTAATTACAGAGGGGGCCACTAGAACACCTAGCATGGCTAGGCATTTCGGGCAAACTTAAATTAATTCTTAACCCTAAATTATTACAAATTGTGGAGTAAGCTGACTAAATACTAAGTGACTAAATAATAAGTGACTTTATCCCTCTGTTAGACGTCTTTAGTATGTTTATTCAGGTATACACAAATACAGTTACATAGATTATCATAAATAACAGCATATGTGTATATTAGTATTAACAATGTACCCATGGGTCCAGAACCTGGACCCCAACATTTTAATGGCTAGCAAGTTAGGTTAGCAATAAACTACTTTATTCACAAAAAAATAATCTAAGGATATAGGAAAGTACTGGTTTAATTATAGTTGTGGATGAGTGGACTAAATTCCCGACGAGTAACGTCACTGAAGTTATGATTATTATGTGATAGCGTTGAATTCATAGGGATCATACAGCACCTGGGGAATGGGAGGTGAATATTTGATCCCCAAAATAATGAGAGAATAAGTCTCACCTGCATCAAGGAACTTCACTTGACGGACTATAAAAAGAGACAGGAAGGACCGTCCCAACTTCGGGGATATATCCTTCATTAATGTAAACGTAGTTAGCTCTTGTTCTAATCTTACAATATATTATATAGATCAAAGATGCCACTCAGTGAAGCTGTATCTAATTTTATTGACAGTAATACCACTACAAACTTAAATCATCAGTGATGGAGATGCCAAAGTCTGTGTCAGAGTCCAGAATTATGTTGGTAAATTTTATTCGGCTCCACAAAATCTTGAAGCCTTCATACCTAACCATAACAGACTTAAAAATTCATATAATTGCAACAAAGAAGTTATTTAATTTGATGCTAGTTCTATGGACTCCTTTTGTAGAATTTAATTAGTCTATTTAGCTTTGTCTCATCGAGTTTTGTAAATTTAGAATGTGTTAATTGTGTGTGTGTGTGTCTGGCCTCTCCCTGGCTGCTGCTGCTGCTGAGTTTGTTCAGTATTTTACGTCACTTAACAAGGAATATGCCGGTTAGTGGCGATCATTACACAATACTAGACAACCAGTTAGATATTTTAATTACTATTTAACTGGTAAATAGCTACATAGGATATATTATGGAATATAAATTATCCTGAGACTAAATTTTTTTCTTTTTAACTGTGTCAGTCGTTTCTCGCTTCTCATTATGGTATATTATTCAATATTGGACGTGGAAGACTTTACTCATGTGCTCGTCAGATCTTGTGACAATGGGATATATAATACACCTGTCAGACTCAGAGATGCTTCCACGGCACCGTGGCTCTAACACTTGCTCATATGTGCTGTATATCTCTTGTAGTTTGCCATTACACATTATTGCATTCACTGGGGGTCGCTAAACCTGCAGGGATTATACAGCACCTTGGGAAATAGGAGGAAATAACATTTGATCCAAGGAAAGGAAGGTTTAATTTCTTGGATCAAGAGCCCCTACTGGCATCAATCCCCCCCCCCCTTTGATGGGTCCTCGCTACAAATATTTGCATTTGTTGTATACATGATAAGCATTTCCCTCAAGGGGAGGCTGCCTTATACTTGATCCAAGGAATTGGATCAAGTATAAGGCATGTTAGTGGCTTTCTTTGTACAGTATTTTATTACATGTAAATCACACACTGTATACTATGCAAAGAAATAAACAATTTAATTTATCATACCTGATTACCTCTCATTCCTCATGCACTATGACCCGTCCACCTGTATAATCCTACGGGTTTAGCGCTTCCCCCTTGATTATAATAATAATATGACCCGTCCATGTTTAGTGGTTCCCATGAATATAATAATTAAGATGATCCAATGTTAGAGGCAATTATTATTATTATAATCAAGGGGGAAGCACTAAACCCGGAGGATTATACAGCGCCTAGGGGGGGGGGATGTGGAAGGCATTCAGGCTTAATTCGGGGAACTGGAGCACAGATCCAATTCCCTAAATCAAGAGCCCCTCGCCAACATCAAGGAACCTTCCTTGAGGGGTATGTTAGAGGCAAGGCTATGACATTTCTTAGGGTCTATGTTATACTTATTACATAGTGCTACTGCAATTTTGTTCCACTGTAATGAGCATTGTGCATAACATGTTTTATAATGTATGTATATATTATTTGTGAACAGGTTTATAAAGTGGCCATTCGAGCACAGCTTGAGAATGTAACAAATCTACAGGCCCCGGGTGATGACTTCCAGTACTGCATCAAGGTTAGTTTAGGCTCTTCATGTCTGTGATCATTCTTACTTTTTGTGTGTAGTTTGGAGTTGTCATTGTTATTCTGTTAGAGCATCCTTAATTTTATAACAAGCTTTTCATGTGGCAGATTTCCATATACAGCTGGCTTCATTATACAGCTCTCTCTCTCTATCTCTCTTTCACAGTTGGCTTCATTTTACACTCTTACACAGCTGGCTTCATTACACAGAATTTCTTACACAGCTGGCTTAAGGCCCTGTGGCCTGGTGGCTAAAGCTCTTGCTTCACATGCCGAGTGTCTGGGTTTGATTCTCAGCAAGGGTAGAAACATTGGGCGTGTTTCTTTACACCAGTTGTCTATGTTCCTCATCAGTAAAAATGGGTACCTGGGTGTTAGCTGACTGGTGTGGGTTGCATCCTGGGACAAAACTGACCTAATTTGCTCGAAATGCTCTGCATAACAAGTGACTTTCTATGTAGTACTATGTCATTGATGTCAGCTAGGCTTGTATACCTTGTACATGTTTAAAAAAAAAAATTATTATTATTATTATTACACAGCTGGCTTCATTACACAAGATTGTTACACAGTTTGCTTTATTACACAGAATCTCATACACAGCAGGCCTTATCCAACAGCAGGCTTCCTCAAACAGCAGACTCCAATATAAGGACACCCAGGGTTATAAAGGGCTGCTCAGGTGTCTGCCCATATCGCAACGTTACTCCTAGGTCGTATAATGGTGTTGGCCAGTTTTCCCAACATTTTTGAGTGCAGACCCCTTTTTTATCTCAAAAAAAGTTGACACCAGCATGTTAATACAGTAGTTGCAATTTTAGACTCTGATAATAAAATAAAATGAATGCTGGCTAGCAGATTAATACAGCGAAACTTCACGGCGCCCTTCAAGTAACTCGCCAACCCACAGGTTGGGAACCACTCGTATAAGCTCAAGTCTTTGCCTTTTTAGTTACAATATACCAAATGACTAGAAACTAAGATCATGTTAATATTTAAGAATGGAGAGACAATAATGAAAATCAGTCAGTTTAGACTTCTTTGAGTTATCCTAGGTAATTTACACTGTGATAATTGTATACATGATGTACCTGTGTTTAAATATACTGTACTGTACTAACTTACTAAATACATTATGAATTAATCACCCTATCTAATTGATACTTGTGTTATTGAATGGTTGCACACTGATTTTGCAGAAAATTTAATAGGACCATAGCCATTAGAAAAAAATATTCACTGCATTATAAAGACAGTAATTTTTGAAAAGTTGAGCTGAGCTAATATGAAAATTGAACAGTAGAATGTATGAATGGCTTGTATGTGTAAAGCTTTGAATAAATATGCTCTGCTTGCCTAAAACTTAGTTTTGATATTCACTACAGTGCCAGGAATTTTGATGACTGATTTAAAACTAAATACTGTATGATACACAAATATATATGGTAAAAATAAACTAATTTGGTAATAGAGCCTAATTAAATAAACCATTTTAACAAGACACACAGAAAAAATATGTATATTAGCAGTTTATGTAAATAATCATAGTATCATCCCTGAACGATTCAGCATATACTAAATGGGATTTTTTTATGCTATGCATATTTAAAAAATTATATATTTTGGTCCTGCATATTAACCCTGTCAGCTCCCACCTTCATTGGGCTACTACAATGAAAATTAAATACAAGTACAGTGGACCCCCGCTTAACGATCACCTCCCAATGCCACCAATTATGTAAGTGTATTTATGTAAGCGCGTTTGTACATACGTGTATGTTTGGGGGTCTGAAATGGACTAATCTACTTCACAATATTCCTTATGGGAACAAATTCGGTCAGTACTGGCACCTGAACATACTTCTGGAATGAAAAAAATATCGTTAACCGGGGGTCCACTGTATAATATGTGTTGTCATAAGTTCCTTTACCTTTTCTTAGTTTCCTAAGGAGGAAAAAACTAAGATATTCAGATCTGGAAGCATATAATTTCCTTAGTTTTCCAGGAAAAAAAAATATTTTTTTAATATTTTCTGGTTTAGAAGCATACAAATTACTTAGTTTCACAGGAAAAAAATATTTTAATATTTTTATTTCTAGAAGGATTTATATAATGTACCTTATTTTTCACACATTTGCAGGTCAAATGTACCTCGTGTGGTGAAGTAACTGACAAGTGGCAATATGTGTCTGCAGATGAGCAGGTGGAGGTGCCTAAATCTCGAGGTACCTGCAACTTGCTCATCAAATGTAAACTGTGCAGTCGTGTCAACAATGCTGGTAAGACCAACACTAATACCTTAGCTGAATTTGCTTAGGCTGTTGCACTCACCTAATGTAGGATAATATATGGCCAAAACCCAATTGCTCAAAGGTATCATTCCATCTTTGACACTTATTGGAATAGGAAGAATAGGGCTTTAGTATGGTGTGCACATTCATACTTATTCAGGTGTCAGGCTAAAAATGACCAAAAATATGCAAGACTATTCATTTTACTGTTAAATAGCACAATATTATGCAGAATATAGCAAAAGAGTGCAGGTTGCTTAAGGGAAGTAAATATTTTTGTGGCCAGAATGTCAAAATATGCATACATTTGTTCCTTAAATTTCAACACTTCAAAAATACTGTAAACTGCATTAAAATTATTTAATAATGTATCTTTCTGTACTGAAAAAAAGCCTTACAATTAAATATGTAGTGATAAAGAGTCTCGAAAGTAGGGTATACCTGGAGGGGGTTAATGCCCCCATGGCCTGGTCTGTGATGAGGTCTCACAGTGGATCAGAGCTTGATCAACCAGGCTGTTACTGCTGGCCACACACAAACTAACATATAAACCACAGCCTGACTGGTCAGTTACTGACTTGAGGTGCCTGTCCAGCTCCCTCTTGAAAACAGCCAGGGGTCTATTGGTAATCCCCCCTATGTGTGCTGGGACACAGTTGAACAGTCATGGGCCCCTGACACTTAGTGTGTTTTCTCTGAGCATACTTGTGGCCGCCTGCCAAGTCTTTTGTTTGCATAGGGAGTGATTTTCGTGTGCAGATTTGGGACTTCCTCTAGGATTTTCCAAGTGTATATTATCATGTATCTTTCTCGTCTGTATTCCAGGTGAGACTCCAACTGTTCCCAGTAATTTAGGTGCTTTATCGTACTTATACATGCCATGAAAGTTCTCTGTATATTCTTAAGGTCTGCAGTTTTGCCTGCCTTGAAAGGGGCCTTTAGTGTACAGCAATATTCCAGCCTAGAGAGAAAAAGCAATTTGAAGAGAATCATCATGGGCTTGGCATCTCTAGTTTTGAAGGTTCTCATTGTCCATCCTATCATTTTCCAAGCAGATGTAGTACATACATTGTTGTGATCTTTGAAGGCGAAATTCTGACATTATCACTCCCAGGTCCTTCAAATTATTTGTTTTACTGGTTTGTGCATCTCCCTAATATTATTTTATCTTTTATGCATTTCAGATGTTCTTAGTGACACAAAAAAGCCATATACAGCAGATGACGTCCCCAAATTCAAAGAGATCATCGCCTTTGAGTGCCGAGGCATAAGTATTGCTGCCTTTAAGTTTGGTGTGAGTCCAATCAATCATCCATATATCTGACTTGCCACATCAACTCCCTAAACTGAGTGACTTTCAAACTTATGGCAAGCCAGTCTTGAAACTAGCAGGCAGTGCATTATCCACATGTACCATGATAATAGTAGATAGTGCACTGGCCTGATAGTTATAGGACTGGCTTCCCATGGGTTCAAATCCCACTCCTTTCAGAAAGAGATCCCTTTACAGTTAGGCCTCACCTTAGTGTTTTTCAGATTTCCTACAATAAATATATTCACCACTCACTATAAGTTAACGGATGAAAATATTTAAAGGTAATGTAATGTGTGTACTGTATATAGTAGGACCCCTGTATCTGTGGGGATGTGTAACAATACTTGCCGTGGATACAGAGACCATAGATAGTAGCGTACCCTATATGCAAGTTCTTCGTTTACATACATACCTATTTTGGCCTGCCTCATGGTGGGGCAGTGTTGTTATTGATCAATACCACTCGTTCATGGTCACAGTAATATAAAATACTGCTCGTTGTACTAATATACCAAACAGGGACTAGAATGAAATTACCCTAGAGTCATCCACACCACCATATGTCCTTGGGTAGCGAGTACAACGTCCAGTTCCACTGGATGCACTACTCATAAGGATTGTATGGCCAGTGGATTAAGGATACATACCTATGATGTTAGGTTTTGGAGGGGTGTAGGGATGGAGAGTGTTTTTTCTTATTTTTGGGCAAACTTCATGAAAGTTCTAGTATGACTTTGGACAACCTTCTTAACTTAAACTAAAAATATATAATTGAAATCAGCCTATTATTAAAATTTTCATAGTAGAATCCTGCTCCCCCTCTTAATATATTCGGGCCATTGTGAACAGCAGATAACTGAAACCACAGAAACTGAACCTACAGATATGGGGTGTTTTACTGTATGCATTTTTTAGGCCTAGCTCTATTGCTTACTTAATATATGATAGTGTAAACATGTTATCAAGACTTATATGCATTTGAAAGTGAAAAAAGGCTATGTTTCACTTTACAGCAGTAGCCTGGAACCTAACCTGCTGCATAAGTGGGGCCCACCTGTACATATGTATATGTTTAAGGTAATTAAATATTTAGAGTAGAATAATACTGTGTGTACAGAAAATGTTGAATTTGCATTCAAATGTAATATACTGTACTATACCTCTCTTTTATTCGCAAGGCTTTATTTTTTTTTTTTTCATATCACACACACTGTCTGATTCACACACCAAGGCAGGTTTCCTCATTAATGTTATATGTGTTTACAAGAAAAACTTACACCACATTCACCCGATGACTGTGTTGCAATGATGAGGTGCGATTGCCTTTGGACTCAGTTTTGCAAATGCAAAATTACATTGATGTTGAGCTGTATTCCTTCCGATCAAGTCTGTTGGTGGGTATTCCTTGAACCTTCATAAATGTTACTTTCACATCAACAGAGTCAAGTATTAAAACTTTGTCTCCATTACTCTATAATGTTTCTACATTAATGTTTATTTGTTGTTTACAATGTGGAGTGTGAGTAAAATCTAACACCTTTAAAATCTCTCAATCTGGATATTAGTGGTGTAAAATATGTGCAAAGTGTGTCGAATTGCCCTGTGGGATTTCTCGGAGTTTGCAAACAAATTGTTGATTGTTATTGATTGATCGTTTCCATTCAAAGTTGTTTTGTTGGACATTTTGATACTGAAGTAATGGGTTTTCTTTAAGATCATTAATTAGGAAGTTATGAAAGTGTGTGGTCTTTGATATAGAAGTGATAGGGTCTACATGTCACAGTTTTATATTCTGTATGTACTTACATTGTGAGGTTTTACAAATTATCATCTTTAATATCGAGCTGCATGCAATTATCTGTGATATTTAGAGTACGATATAAAATAAATGTGCAAAAAATGTGTGTTATGTATAATCTGACCCTTTCTGTGGGATTGCATGAAATATAATGCAAGGAACTTATGCAGAACAAATGTTGTGCTTATTGTTATATAGTAATTTTTATCTTTGACATGAAAGTGTTACTATGTTGACAGTTTTTCTAGATAACAGACAGAAGCTCAGAGGGGAGGCTCCTGATCCAAGGAATTTGACCTAATCTCTCAACTGGATTAACCTGATTGCCTCCTGTTCCCCCATGTGCTGTGTGATTCCTGTGTGTTTAGTAGCATTTTCAAATAACTAGTATATACTGCAGTTGATTGAATTGAGTTCACTGGTGTACTATATTATAACTAGTAAGTAATAATTGAGTTGTATAGTATGTTGTTATGCTGTTTGGCAAAAGTATTTTATTTAGAAAGCAAGTCTTTCTTGATTATTATAATCACAGGAAATTAGGCAAAGATAGTTACTGCATTGTGTTGCCGAGGGGTTGACAAGACAAAGCCTGGAACACTGTACTGTTGCTAACTTAATGGGTTACCCACATAATAATTTGCCCTATTTATGTACATTGTGTGGGGGAATATATACTGTATATTAGATGCAAGTAGATAAAAAACTAAACGGGCCTAAGGATGCAAAAAATAATTTAAATTATTTTATAATTTTCAAGAGATTGGAAATTATCTTGCAGGAAATGACTACCATTTTGACATCAACATCAGCACATTTCTTGCTTATTGTAAGCTATAAAGGATGAAAACCTTTTCAATTTTGAATTTCATGCATTCTAAACTCTGAAAGTCAAAGAATCCTGAGGGTACTGAGCCTGGGCTGAAGGGGAAAAGGTTTGTGTATTGTTTTGAATATAGGGCCTTTGTGAGCAGTGGCCCAGGGGTTTTGTAAAGAGTAAAATAAATATAACTGACTTTCCTGATGGAACATGCAAAGTTTAGCATTTATCAAACACACTTGTATTGAAATCCCAAATCTATACATGAGAGAGTTATAAATAGGGTCTAGAGCTTGGTGTGTTTCTGAGGTTAAAGAAGTTCAGAAATGAAGATAGATTTCTAAGTGAAGGACACACTGAGTTTAAGAAAAATCCTCCTGGGTGGAGCCTAGGAGCTGTGTGTTGTTGGTGTCTGCCTGGTCCTGGCAGGGCTGCATGAATTGTATCATGACAATGAAGTACGTAATGACGGCGCTCATCACCTGAGGGTAAATCGGTGTATTCTGATCATAAGGCTCCTTGGAGAATTGATATCTCAACCTTCTCCCTTTCTCTTCATTCAATATATGATAATTCTCATTACTTCCCAATACCTCACAAACTGTGTGTTGCATCCACTCACCGTGATGATGAAAGGACGATTGATGACAAAGAACTTGCCTCCAGTGATGTAAATGGGTGACCTTGTCAGTGCCATTGTCAGCTCCTCCATCTGGAGACAAATGGCACAAAGCTGACAAGTGGTGAAGAAGACTTAGTTACAGCGAGGAACTTTACTAAGACATTTTGCCTGTTCAAGAGGTAAAATATCTCACTAAAATTCCTTTCTGTAACTGTCTTCTTTGCCAGCTCAACCATCTGTTGACTGTCACTGATGAAAAGCTATGCTGATTCTGCAATATTGGGCTTTTTGCCTCGACCGAGTTGACATAATTGCAATTCATTTATTTACCAGAACAATTAAATATATTAAATTTATTATTGAACTATATACAGTAACTGAAAAAGATAGCTGAATTGATCAAGTGTCATATTTTTGGAAATGACGAGTTGACTGAAATGATGAACTCACATTAAACTTATCTCTGTTAGAAGTATTAAAAGGGATTCCCCGGCGTAGAATATCAATGCTGTCATTTGCCTAGGGAAGGAAGGAAGAGAGGTTAGAATTAGAATCAGGATCAGAAAATTTATTCATAAATAATTGTGCATTATAATTATTTTATATAGCTGGTCACCAAACTGGCTTCTTATTATCAACTAATCAAATTTTTTGTTAAATGTAATACAGATCTGGTATATGTAATGTAATACAGCCTCTCCTCGCTTAGCAACAAACTGGTTTACCAACAACTCAGACTTATGATGGGCTCTCTGACCCATATGTATACCTAATTAATGTATATTAGAGCTGATTTCCTCTCTTCTGTTTATTACAATATACAGTACACTACTGTATTAACATTTAAAAATATACCAGAAATGTTATAAATGGTGCAAAGATGGTTGACACAAACCCACTACCATTATATTACGATTCTTGTTTAGCGACGAATTCGTTTACCAACGTGGTCTTAGGAATGGAACTCCGTCGTTAAGTGCAGAGAGGCTGTATAACTATTTTGTAATAGTAACCATGTCTTTGATGTGTGTATATGCTCAATATATGACCAACTGGTGAATTTGATTCTAACTTTTTTGTATACAATCTTCCTTTATTTCCTCTGACTCAAGCTAGTTTACCAACAATTTTCTATATCTGTGATCTGAAAGAATAAACTTCTTTTTAACTTATTTGGGTACCTGTCTCAATTACTGTGTGTTTTGTGATTCTGATCTTTCCTTAACCATTCTTCCTACTTTATCAGTACCCTTGAGTACCTAGTACATGTACTGTAACTAATTTTCCCAAAATCTTCCTTTCTCTAGTAGCACTTAGTACCTTAGTAATTATCCGCCTTTCTTTGTAGTTCATGGCTTTCAGCTTCGGGATACGTATGTCTGCTAGCAAATCTTAGAACTTCATAAGCCTGGGGAAACTGCACTGATGAACCCTACTTGGGAATTTTCTGATGTGAATGGGTTTATGCTGAGGTTCCTGAAGGCAGTCCTTATAGTCTCCAACCTCGCCTGTGCTATCTAGTGTGTGCTTCAAGGGGTAGGTTTGGTATGATGTAAGAACATGAAGAAGTCCTGCAGTAGGCTTACTGACCCATGCTAGGCAGGTCCATCTCATGCCCACTGATATATCTATCCAACATATATTGAAAGCTACCCAGAGTTCTAGCCTCAATGATATTACTTGGAAATTTGTTCTCATCTACAACTCTGCACCAACCTAATCTTCATTTGTCCACCTTGAATCCATTGCTTGCTGCAAGTCCTGTCTTGGTTAGACAATTTCAGCACATAATTTATATTCTCCCCTATTTATTCCTGTTTTCCATTTGTACACTTTAATCATATTCCCTCTAATTCTACATCTTTCTAAAGAATGCAAATTTGGTACCTTCAATCTATCTTGTGGGTAAGGTTTCCAATACACAAGATCAACTCTGTCATTCTTTTGTATTTTCCATTCTGTAAAATGGGATCAGAACTGAGGAGCATAATCTAAACAAGGCCTTATTAAAAATATAAAAAGATGAAGTACAACCTTAGGGGTTCTATTATTTATATAGTACTTTTTGATGTGAAGCCAAGAATTCTATTAGCTTCATGGCGAACACTGCTGTGCTGTTGTCTTTTCTTTAAATTTCTGCAAACCAGAATTCCTAAATCTTTTTCATTGTTTGACTAAGGTCTATATTATTTAGCTTATAAGTATCAGTTATTTTCTTTTTCTAAGATCAGAACACCATGTTTGTCTGCACTGAACTGCAACTGTCACATCTCCAACTACAAACAACAGTCTGCCATGCCATCCTATAGCTTTATTGTGTCCTCATCAGAAATTATCTGATCACCTATTTCAGTCTTTTTCTTTGTTTACTTGAAGTTGTGTTTTGTACTGTACTTTCTAAATAGTACCTTATCTCTGGCCCCTCTCTAAGTTTTATCATTATTATTTTGTATTTGTTAGGGTTGTGCTCTAACAGCCACTTGCTGGACCACTGAGGCTGTTGGTATTTGCTGCATTCATAATGATAATAGTTTATTTCTTTGAGCATACAGATAATGTAGATTTTTTTTTTTTTTTTTTTTTTCAACAAGTCGGTCGTCTCCCACCGAGGCAGGGTGACCCAAAAAAAAGAAAGAAAATCCCCAAAAAGAAAATACTTTCATCATCATTCAACACTTTCACCACACTCACACATTATCACTGCTTTTGCAGAGGTGCTCAGAATACAACAGTTTAGAAGCATATACGTATAGAGATACACAACATATCCCTCCAAACTGCCAATATCCCAAACCCCTCCTTTAAAGTGCAGGCATTGTACTTCCATTTCCAGGACTCAAGTCCGACTATATTGAAAATAACCGGTTTCCTGAATCCCTTCACTAAATATTACCCTGCTCACACTCCAACAGATCGTCAGGTCCCAAGTATCATTCGTCTCCATTCACTCCTATCTAACACGCTCATGCACGCTTGCTGGAAGTCCAAGCCCCTCACCCACAAAACCTCCTTTACCCCCTCTTTCCAACCCTTTCGAGGACGACCCCTACCCCTCTTTCCTTCCCCTATAGATTTATATGCTTTCCATGTCATTCTACTTTGATCCATTCTCTCTAAATGACCAAACCACCTCAACAACCCCTCTCTGCCCTCTGACTAATGCTTTTATTAACTCCACACCTTCTCCTAATTTCCACACTCCGAATTTTCTGCATAATATTTACACCACACATTGCCCTTAGACAGGACATCACTGCCTCCAACCGTCTCCTCGCTGCTGCATTTACCACCCAAGCTTCACATCCATATAAGAGTGTTGGTACTACTATACTTTCATACATTCCCTTCTTTGCCTCCATAGATAACGTTTTTTGACTCCACATATACCTCAACGCACCACTCACCTTTTTTCCCTCATATGTAGATACATATGTAGATATGTAGATATTGGCAGTTTGGAGGGATATGTTGTGTATCTCTATACGTATATGCTTCTAAACTGTTGTATTCTGAGCACCTCTGCAAAAGCAGTGATAATGTGTGAGTGTGGTGAAAGTGTTGAATGATGATGAAAGTATTTTCTTTTTGGGGATTTTCTTTCTTTTTTTTTTGGGTCACCCTGCCTCGGTGGGAGACGGCCGACTTGTTGAAAAAAAAAAAAAAAAAAAAAAAAAATGTAGATACACGAGTTAAATAGTAAGCAGAAAAGAAAGCCACTAATTATGCAATGCATTCTGGGCAACTAATCATAAGGCTTACACAGTACTTAAGAACTAGACAGTGATCTTCAGTTTTATGGCATGACTGAATAAAGATAGTGAGAGTACAGCAAGTTACTGAAATTACAACACAAATTTAATGGGACAATATATGTTACCAATCACATATGGAAGTTGAAGGAAGGAAGGCTGGAAGAACAGCACCATAAGTGAATGAAGATTGGTATTGTTGCTAAGAGAATTTGCTGTCTAGATTACATTAAGGAGATGAGATGCTTTTTAATAATAGCTTTGAAGCAAATGGCAGATAAGGGATGTTTAGATGCTGCAGGAAAGTTTTCCAGATTTTAGGGCCTTTTATGCAAAATGCTTCCATATTCAAACCAGACCATGTTAGTGTCTCCCTTAAACCATACAAGCAGCCAAACTCGATTAAGCCAAAGCCACACACAGACTGATAAGGCCACACACACACCATATTAATTAATGTCCCAGCCAGATTATGAGGACCACAATGACACCACACTTGCCAAGTGCTTAATAACTCCTATGGATTTAGTGCTTAGCATGATCACACTCACCACCTCCTCGATGGCAGCAGCAGAGAGGGAGACCATAGTGAAGACAGCTGCTGTTTGTAGCGTCATGAGTGCTATGGTGACAACTCCATCTGCTGAGTAAATGCTGCACCCCAAACGATACGCCAGCAGATACAGCTCCGTGCACAGGATGACTACCTGCATTATACATAGTGGTGGGGCAAATTCATTAATTTTAAATTGTTTGGTAATAGTCATTAAAGCTGCACCGCACCTGCACACCAACAAGCAAGAATGAATGCATTAAATGTTTTTGCACCTGTCAACCTCTATTATGCAGATCTTAATGTTAGTCATAGCAAACCCATTGTAACTGGTGACTTTAATGCTAGGCACAAAAAGTAGGGTGATACCACTACAAATACCCATGAAAGGTTAATCTCACTCTTATAGGCATATGCTCATGTCCAAATTATATTTATGGAGAATCTCTTGACAGGTACATAAGTTTTAATTTGTCATAGACAACCCATTACTGTGACATTATTGATGTGTTGACCATTCACATATTAGCAGCCACTGTATGCCATTGTCACCTTACCTGGTGAGATACCACACAACAAGGTTTGTAAGTACCCAAAGGCAAGAGACTAAACTTAGTGATCATAGCTCATAGCTCAAACTGGTACAAGAGCGAAAGTTCGATACAGATATTCTTAGGTCAGGGGAACTCTGCATTCTCCTGACCAAAGTCAGATGACTTACTCTCGAAGTCAGCAAACAGACTTTCCTCAAGCCTAGGAAATCCACAGAGCTAAAAACTGATGATATGGAGCACCAGACCAATAGCCCAGTGGGCTATGTATGATGAAGACAAACGTCCTTGGAAGAGAACAGAAATTTATCAATATGTGATGTAATGGTTCAGAAAACTGATAGGTCGAAGAATGAGGCACTTGTGCAACATCAAAATTGATGGACTGAACACATCAACTCCAGACAGGGACTGATTACCTCAAACTTCTCCCCTTTCAACATTCTTCTCTGTATTAGACTGAAGAAGCCACTGGCTGGCAAAACGTTTCCTCAACAGATTCCCAAATGTTACACAAGTTTCTCATTCTTCAATTTATCACAGATACTTGGCACTGGATAGCAAGATATCTACATTCCTCCATCGTATATGGCAGTACACCATATTGACCTAGTAAATAGTTCGTTGGTCAAGAGACGCGGAAAAATTTATCATGCTGCAAATATAAGCCATATAACTTATTCTGGGTTACTAACCCTCCAGGCACTGTATGGTCCTTACGGTCCTTGAGAGGGGTGTTAGACTGACCGTGGAGCCGTAGTAGCACTGCAACATGGGACCGAATATTTCCTCAGTCTCCCGGACCAGGCGGACCAGCTGGAAGTGACTCTGAACCAGCATACCAAGATGACCTCGCCGGCGACCACCAACACGCCACATGGCTGTTAGACAAGGATGGTCTTACAATAGACTCGAATCTTACAACTTGGCTCGAATCTCATTAGCTCCCGTTCCCCATGTACTGTATAACACTGATGGGCTTAACACTTCCCCTTATACTACTACTACTACTACTACTATTATTATTATTATTATTACTACTACTACGACTGCTACTACTACTAATACTAATAATACTAATAATAAATAATATAGAATACTCTTAACTTGTGCACATTAAAACTATAATTTATAACTCATAAAAATTACTCCATTCAAGAGACATGCCTTGATGCAGGTGAAGGGCTCTTGATCCAAGAAACAAGACTTACCATCACCTTCCTCGGATCAGACCTTATTACTTCCTATTTTCCAGGCGATGCTTGACCCTTCTAAGCTTACCGCTGCCCCTGATGATAATATTGCCTTCATTATTTACATCATTATTACCCACAGGGGTCATGAACACTTGGGGAGTAGGAGATGATCAAGCTTGATCCAAGGAAGAAGAGGATAGTTCCAGTTCAAAGGGATGAAGAGCCTGTAATATTTGTAATGTAGTTATTCCCAGTGAGGCTGTGATAAAGACCTACTGGGACCTTTGTAATATTCTTTTTTTCGCTACCACTCAGAAAATGAGTATGGTAACTCCAGCTCCACTGGACCGATACCTTTGAAGTTCTTGTAACTGATGAACCTTTAATGGAATACTTGACTATATTCTCATTGTCTTACTTAAGTCTCCCAGCAGAGACTGACATTTCATTGCTGGTGTACCTAGTTTTCCTAAATAAAAATATGATGATGGGTGCACAATAAACTAGCCATTCAGACGACACAACCCCAAAAAGTTTTTGTGGATCTTTGTGACTTGCCTTCCAGAGCGTCAGAGAGCTGGTGGTTCCAGGAGGCGAGTCCATTCTTCAGCATGTGACAGTTGATAATGAAGGAAAAGAGGAAACTCTTGAAGACGGAGAACAAGTGAAGACACACCACACAAGTTACCACACGCACCACCTGTGGGAAGTACCAAGCTTTACACACCACACATTGTGGGAAGTACCAAGCTTTACACCACATGTGGAATCACTTTCACACAACATCTGTGGGAAGTACCAAGCTTTACACACCACACATGTGGGAAGTACCAAGCTTTACACACCACACATGTGGGAAGTACCAAGCTTTACACCACACATGTGGGAAGTACCAAGCTTTACACACCACACATGTGGGAAGTACCAAGCTTTACATGCCACATGCAGCACCTGTGGAAAGTACCAAGCTTTACACACCACACGTGGGAAGTACCAAGCTTTACATACCACATGCAGCACCTGTGGAAAGTACCAAGCTTTACACACCACACATCTGTAGGAAGTACCAAGCTTTACATACCACATGCATCACATGTGGAAAGTACCAAGCTTTACACACCACATCTGTGGGAAGTACCAAGCTTTACATACCACATGTAGCACCTGTGGAAAGTACCAAGCTTTACACACCACACATCTGTGGGAAGTACCAAGCTTTACATACCACATGCAGCACCTTTGGGAAGTACCAAGCTGTACACACCACACAACTGTGGGAAGTACCAAGCTTTACATACCACATGCATCACCTGTGGAAAGTACCAAGCTTTACACACCACACATGTGGGAAATGCCAAGCTTTACATACCACATGCAGCACCTGTGGAAAGTACCAAGCTTTACACACCACACATCTGTGGGAAGTACCAAGTTTTACATACCACATGCAGCACCTGTGGGAAGTACCAAGCTTTACACACCACACATATGTGAGAAGTACCAAGCATTACATACCACATGTAGCACCTGTGGAAAGTACCAAGCTTTACACACCACACATCTGTGGGAAGTACCAAGCTTCACATACCACATGCAGCACCTGTGGAAAGTACCAAGCTTTACACACCACACATCTGTGGGAAGTACCAAGCTTTACATACCACATGCAGCACCTGTGGAAAGTACCAAGCTTTACACACCACACATCTGTGGGAAGCACCAAGCTTTACATACATGCAGCACCTGTGGAAAGTACCAAGCTTTACACACCACACATCTGTGGGAAGTACCAAGCTTTACATACCACATGCAGCACCTGTGGGAAGTACCAAGCTTCACACACCACACATATGTGAGAAGTACCAAGCATTACATACCACATGCAGCACCTGTGGAAAGTACCAAGCTTTACACACCACACATCTGTGGGAAGTACCAAGCTTTACACACCCTCTGTGGAGTACCAAGCTACACACCACATGTGGAAGACAAGCTTACACCAATCTGTGGGAAGTACCAAGCTTTACACACCACACATCTGTGGGAAGTACCAAGCTTTACACACCACACATCTGTGGGAAGTACCAAGCTTTACATACCACATGTGGAAAATACTGTATATTTTCCATAAATACAGTGTTTTTTATATGTAAATTGATGGAATATATTGTAGGTAATAAAAACTAATTTGTAAATAAATAAAGGGCTCTGGTGGCCTGGTGGCTAACGCTCTCGCGGTTCACACGGCGAGGGCCTGCGTTCGATTCCCAGCGAGGGTAGAAACATTGGGCGTGTTTCTTTCCACCTGTTGTCTATGTTCCTTATCAGTAAACTGGGTACCTGGGTGTCAGTCGAATGGTGTGGGTCGCATCCTGGGACACTGACCTAATTTGCCCAACATGCGGAGCATAACAAGCGGCTTCCTATATAGTAGTATGTCATTGTTGTCAGCTAGGCCTCTATAACATGTACCTGTAGTAAATAAAGATATTATTATTATATAAAGAACCAGCGAAATGGGTGAGCGTCGCTGGGGAAGAGTCGCCATTGTTCTGAACTGACGGAGAAACGGTAGTGAAAATCGGAAGAATTTTCGTCGCTCTAGAGGTTATATTGGACTTAAAACCTCTCAAATAGGAAATTGTTGGGACTGCAGTCCTGCAGAATGTGAGAATTAGGCGACTGGACAGGACTCTGTAACTAGATGGAAAAAGGATATTACCACAGCTGAGTGATGTCTATTTATGTTGAAATTCTGGCCAGTATTTTCTTCATATTTTAGGCAGGGAGTTTTGTGTATGACACACCGTAATCTCCAAACTAATTGGTGAGTGGTATTAAGATAAATTCTCCTTCAATGTATATGTATTCATTTTTTAAATTTAATATACAGTCCACATATTTATATTAATGTTTTACCAGAATTCAACGATGAGAAATTTCAATTACTCAGATATGGTAAACATGAGGAAATTAAATCTTCATCAGAGTACAAAACAAATTCTGGCCACAAAATAGAGCGAAACACCAACGTCAAAGACCTGGGAGTGATCATGTCGGAGGATCTCACCTTCAAGGACTATAACATTGTATCGATCGCATCTGCTAGAAAAATGACTGGATGGATAATGAGAACCTTCAAAACGAGGGATGCCAAGCCCATGATGACACTCTTCAGGTCACTTGTTCTATCTAGGCTGGAATATTGCTGCACACTAACAGCACCTTTCAAGGCAGGTGAAATTGCTGACCTAGAAAATGTACAGAGAACCTTCACGGCGCGCATAACGGAGATAAAACACCTCAATTTCTGGGAGCGCTTGAGGTTCCTAAACCTGTATTCCCTGGAACGCAGGCGGGAGAGATACATGATTATATACACCTGGAAAATCCTAGAGGGACTAGTACCGAACTTGTACACGAAAATCACTCACTACGAAAGCAAAAGACTTGGCAGACGATGCAACATCCCCCCAATGAAAAGCAGGGGTGTCACTAGCACGTTAAGAGACCATACAATAAGTGTCAGGGGCCCGAGACTGTTCAACTGCCTCCCAGCATACATAAGGGGGATTACCAACAGACCCCTGGCAGTCTTCAAGCTGGCACTGGACAAGCACCTAAAGTCGGTACCTGATCAGTCCGGGCTGTGGCTCGTACGTTGGTTTGCGTGCAGCCAGCAGTAACAGCCTGGTTGATCAGGCTCTGATCCACCATGAGGCCTGGTCACAGACCGGGCCGCGGGGGCGTTGACCCCCGGAACTCTCTCCAGGTAAAACTCCAGATGTATAATTCATTTGAAATTAATATAGGTCCAGAGTGACTTGTGGAGAGATAGATTATGGTAGGTATCGAAGTGGGACATTTTTTGTGACCTAGGTGTCCTAAAATTCCTACGTGTCTCTGTAACCTTGACAAAGAATAATTATCTTTGTTACCATTTACTGGTATGTATCTTATGAGTTACATCAAGGTAAATTTAATTTTCCACACCACACATCTGTGAGAATTACCAAGCTTTACAACACACAAAATAGAAAACTTAAAACTGTGCAGGATAACATTCAACATATTAATAAACGAGGCAATTATAATTATTATTATTATTATAATCAAAACTAAACGCTAACTCACAAGGGTCATACAGCGCTGCAGGGTACAGTGTGCCCCAATGACAATAAGTCACTGTCTGACTTTTTTGGGTTATCCCAGGTTCTTTACACATATGCTGCTATGTATGATAATCTATGTAACTGTATTTGTGTATACCTGAATAAACTTACTTGATCGGAGATCAGTGAGGGTGGAGAGTATAACAGAGGTAGACTTTGTAAGGGCGGTTTGTGTAATAAGTCTTTTGCTGTCAAAGAGGGAGTCTGTGTCAAAGGTGGGGCCGTCAGCGAGGAGGGAAGATAAAGTAAGGGTGCTTGAGCGGTTATTATTATGGGGAATTATCATTATTATTATGGGAAGCGCTAAACCCGTAGCGATTATACAGCGCCTGTGGGGGATGGAAGGTATTCAGGCTTAATTCAGGGAATTGGAGCACAGATCCAATTCCCTAGATCAAGAGCCCCTCACCAGCATCAAGGAACCTCCCTTGAGGGGGGCCCCCTTGAAGGGAAGGAAGCACTAAAGTCGCAAGTCATGTAGCTCCTGGGTAGTGGGAGGTAATCAAGTTTGATACGATGAAAGTTCTTTGACGTTGGTTGGAGCTCTTGATCCAGGGAATTAGACCTGCCCTCCCTTTCCTTGGATCGAACCTGATTGCCTCCCAATCTCTGTGATTCTGTGATCAATACGGCTTTACTGCACCATGAATAATAAATCACTTGATCAAGAGCCCTTTACCGACATCAAGGTACTTTCCTCTTAGGGAGGTACCTTGCCTCCACCATGCAGTCATATAAACCACGAAACGGGTGGGGTTTGAACTCATGGCAAGCGAGTCTACAAAACTCCAGGGCGGGTGGCCTAGAAACTGGCCTGGTGTGTTAGAGCTCACTCGACATGGTATACTCCAGGTTCAAACCTTACCCGTTTCGTGGTTTGTTTGCAGTCGTGTTATTAAGATTTCGTGAACAATCATATAGAATAATGTAGCAGCAGTTACTGTATCAATTTTTTCTAAATAAAAAATGTTACCTTGACAAAGGCTGGAGACTGATAGAACCATTCCTCGGGTACCAAGAGAATGGTCTGCGCGACGCCATCAAGGCCCCAAACCAAGACGTCAGGAGCCTCCATGAATGACAAGGTCAGCACGATGACACAAAACCCACAAAGAAGTCCAATCTGCATCCGCATCGTCACCTGCAGCCCCTTCAGCGGGTCGAGGTGGGTGGCGGCCACCAGACTGTTCCAGCTGTTGAGGAGTCCACACACCCGCTGTCCACCGTACAGTAAGCTGAGCACTTGAACCCAGGCGTTCATCAGGTTCCCACCGATGAGCAGCACCACCAACATCTTAATGTCAAATATGGTAATATTTTCCTGCGTCTGATGAATCTCCGACTGAGAAAACATGGTGACTCCACCTACCACAATGGTTACCATCAGTACCGTGAGGTAGATAGCGGTAATCACCGATTGGAGAAAGGCGAAAGTACACCACTTCATCACGTATTGTCCTCTGCTTACGTTGTAGGTGAAAGGTAGAATGCTCAACACCCGCAGACACATTCTCAGGGGCCGGAGTGATCGGCGAAAGATATTTGGGAAGCTTGCTTTGTGTGGGGTTTCTGGGACAAGGAACAAACTCTTCGTCTCGAGCTCCTGCTTGAAGGGCCACAGCAACATTTTCTCATTCTCACACAACTCGAAAGCCTCGTCGAATCTCTGCCTTAATCTTCTCTCAGTTTCTGATGGAGAAAGGACCTTCACAGCCCATATCTTGCCCTTCTCTGCCTGCTCGCGTCTTGGCAGCCACCTACTCTCTGCTGACACAAAACCCATAGTGGAGAGACGCATCCACCACCTCTGGCATCAACTTCAACCCTAAGGCAATCAACATCATGCACGGCTGGTTTATGAAGCTTGTAGCACACTCACACCCCCACCAACCCCCTTGACACACCCTCGAATTATGTGAGGGGAAAAATGGCAGTACATCCCCGCCCACATCCAGACCGCCTGCGTGACCCAGGGTGAGTCGACTTGCAGGTGAGCAGAGGTACAGCAGTAAAGGCAGAAGGTACCACATGACCCTAATCAAAAAACACATCATTAAAAAATATTTAAGATGTCAGATGATTACATTATTATTATTAAATTATCATCGAAACAATATCCAAAACGATAAGGATAATAACTTGAATCGTAATTGTATTTACAAAGGGCGAATTTTATTCTTTGCTAATCCTACCATCATACACCAGCACTCAGTAACACACCTTCGTCCCCGCCTCACCCACACAATCAATTCCCAACTCTCTCACTTACAATGAGGAGAGACATTGCCAAATCAATGAGAAGCGGGGATGCGATACGTACACTTATGAATAAATCATTAAGCATAAATGTCCCAAAGATTTTCTAACGCTCTCCTTTCAAAATAATCATGACCATAAATTTTAAGGGGTGGAGTGGTAAGCCAGTGGAAGGCCTCGGTCAGATGAGCGGAAGCTCCAGCGGTGGGTCATCAAATGACTAATACCCGCCTCGGGAAACAATTGTCCTGTCTCCTGACCAATCTTACCTAACCTTTCAAATTATTACCATTTTCACGGGAAAGAACTAAATCCGTATGGGTTATATAAAAGGAAAATAAGAGACAGCTCGTGAACATTCTTTAATTTAAATTTGACTGCATCTTCATCAGAAGCGCCAGACTTGGCTTGACAATTGGCATAAAAACTTTGTACTTAATACCAGAGTATGATCATGGTGCCATACAGCGCCTGGAGAATGGGAACCAATCAAGTTGAATTCATTCAAGGCAGGGGAGGGCAGCTTCAGTTCACTGGATCAAGAGCCGTTCGCCAAGATCAAAGCACTCCATCATTTTGGGGATAAGGAAATAAAGAAATACCTGGAAAGTTATTACACAGGTTTCTTTAATTCTTTAACATTGCTAAGAAATGGGACACGATACATAAATTCCCAACCAACCATTACCTCAAAAATTACAGAGGCAGATCAAAATCACGAGTAACTGTTCTAAATTATCATAACTACGCGCTTAACCCACAAGGGTCATACAGCAACATTTCTAAATGGATGAGAATTATATTATACATGTCAGTTTTAATTCCCCAGAACCCATGTTGTACCCGGGTGATAGTAATTCCAGTTCTGCTGGAAGGAAGTCCTCAAACCTCCGTAGCTACTGAACTCATAAAGGAATTCTCGATAATCCTCATTACCCTATTGAAGTCTCTCAGCCTAGGCTGACTTTGTTTTTACCTGTGATGAAATGACTTGGAAACATCTATCTTCTGAAAAAAAAAAAAAAGGAACGGGTGGGGTCTGAACCAATGACGCGTCCTAAAATTCCAGAACATGGGTTCAAACCTCACCCGTTCTGTGGTTTGTTTGTAATTGTATTGTTATGATTTTGTGAGTCATCGAGCTTCTGTTCCACAAGTCTCATTAAGAATAAAGCAGAGTAGCTGCCGTGGGTGTACCTAATTTTGGTTGAATAAAAAAAGTGCTCAACTGAATTTCTTTTTTCTGGTTTTTCTTTGTATACTTTCCTTTTCTTTATCAGGCGGTTTGCTACGTCCTATTCCCAACAACCCGTAAATAAAAACGATGTTTTACTACCTCACATTGTCCCCAGCCTATCACATCTTTTTTTTACTACCTCATATTGTCCCCAGCCTATCATCTTTTTTAACTACCTCACATTGTCCCCAGCCTATCACATCTTTTTTTTACTACCTCATATTGTACCCAGCCTATCACATCTTTTTTTTACTACCTCATATTGTACCCAGCCTATCACATCTTTTTTTTACTACCTCACATTGTCCCCAGCCTATCACATCTTTTTTTTACTACCTCATATTGTACCCAGCCTATCACATCTTTTTTTTACTACCTCATATTGTACCCAGCCTATCACATCTTTTTTTACTACCTCATATTGTACCCAGCCTATCACATCTTTTTTTTACTACCTCATATTGTACCCAGCCTATCACATCTTTTTTTTACTACTTCATATTGTACACAGCCTATCACATCTTTTTACTGCCTTACATTATCTCCACCCTATCACATTCTTTTGACAATCTTACACTGTCCCCAGCCTATCACATCTTTTTGACAATCTTACACTGTCCCCAGCCTATCACATCTTTTTGACAATCTTACACTGTCCCCAGCCTATCACATCTTTTTGACAATCTTACACTGTCCCCAGCCTATCACATCTTTTTGACAATCTTACACTGTCCCCAGCCTATTAATCTTGATGTTATACTACCTTACACAGTCCCCAGTCTATCACATCATTTCTCCCATGCCAAGAAAGGGGCTCCTAACTAGAACTTACACAAACTATCGTTGACTCCTAACTACATTATCTTCCGAGTAATGTTCCCACACATTAAGAGCCATGTATACACAAGGGCAAGATATCAAATTACATATAGCCTGAAAATGGTATGCACTTCCCGCAGCCTGATACTCAATGTCACTGTTATTAAAATTAAAACCGTAAGGAGATGAAGATTGAGACACTTATGCAACATATGGGAATCTTTATTGAGGAAACGTTTCGCCACACAGTGGGTTCATCAGTCCAATACAAAGTAGAAATGATGAATGGTTTTGAAAACCGACAACTTGGAGAATTGAGACACTTATGCAACATGTGGGAATCTTTACTGAAGGAACGTTTCGCCACACAGTGGCTTCATCAGTCCAATGCAAAGCAGAAATGGGTAAGGAGAGGAGGAGTATGAGGTAATCAGTCCCTCAACCTGGAATCGATGTGTTCAGTCCATCACTTGCAGGAAGTACAGCATAGGGCCAGAGAGGTGGCTTATATACAAAGACTTCAACGGTTGTCCATCCTTAGGACGACGACCTACTTACATTAGTGGCAGGTCCCACTGTGGTCCCGCCTCCTCCTGCTTCGACTCATCTGACTGCAGTATATAAGCCACCTCTCTGGCCCTATGCTGTACATTCTACAAGATTGATGGACTGAACACATCGACTCCAGGCTGAGGGACCGATTACCTCAAACTACTCCTCTCCTTACACATTTCTACTTTGTATTGGACTGATAAAGCCACTATGCGGCGAAACGTTTCCTCAATAAAGATTCCCATATGTTGCATCAGTGTCTCAATCTTCAACTTGTCGGTTTTCAAAACCATTCGTCACAACCGTAAGGAGACGCTAAACCCATAGGACTGATACAGTGTCTCCTTGAGGGCTAAAAGTATTAAACGTTCAATCAGCATTATTTATAAATGATCAGCCTACACCAGAGAATGTGTTCTTACAATTTACTGCACCTTTAGTCACACTAACATTTAAATACGAGTAAGAACTAAACGTTACTTTTCGCTAGCACAGGGTAATACCTGACGCCACTATATAAGCTACAATCTTACTACCTGTGCTTCTGATTTTTCAAAACTACGGTGCTCTTCACCAACTCTAAGGCTGAGGGACTGATTACCTCATCTTCTGTACGTAGTTCTACAATCTTCACATTATGTCCTTTTATTGTATTAATAAAGCCACTGGATGGCGAAACGTCTACAAATAAAGACACCCAGATGTTGCACATGTGTTTAATTCTGTACTTGGGGTATGTCGTACTATAGCCACATCCTTAAGTGTCCCTACCATCGGTATTTAGTTGCTGTTGTTACATTTATTTATATGCTAAAGACAGGACACTACAAGTGCAGATCTGCTCCTGTATTGCACGAAATATTTTGTAGCAGAAAGCTTGGTACTAGAGCGTGTGGTTGAAGGTGGTGGTGTTGAGGGCCGCCAAGTTCTGCTTTACACTCGATGCTGATGGTAACTTAAGTTGCAGGACGATGACGAAGTAGGATAACACCGCCCCCACCACCTGCAACACAAACATGACTAATAGTCACCACCACCTGCAACACAAACATAACAAACAGTCACCACCACCTGCAACACAAACATAACAAATAGTCACCACCACCTGCAACACAAACATAACTAACAGTCACCACCACCTGCAACACAAACATAACAAATAGTCACCACCACCTGCAACACAAACATAACTAACAGTCACCACCACCTGCAACACAAACTTAGCAAATAAAGCCATCACCAGCGTGGAGACAATCCATAATAAAACACGTAAATAAACTCTAATGAATTAGGAAGTTCACCAACAGGTTGGTACTAGCACGGGGAGCAAATTCTATTGTCATGGCTGGTAGCATTTTGGAGAGTTAACACACACAAATGAGTACTTAAAACGTCAGGAAACGTTTCTATATGTTAGTGAAAAGCAGTACTGGAACGGACTGGGAAAGTTAGTGAAGAGCAGTACTGAAACGGACTGGGAAAGTTAGTGAAGAACAGTACTGGAACGGACTTAGAAAGTTAGTGAAGAACAGTACTGGAACGGGCTGGGAAAGTTAGTGAAGAACAGTACTGGAAAGGACTAGGAAAGTTAGTGAAGAACAGTACTGGAACGGACTAGGAAAGTTAGTGAAGAACAGTACTGGAACGGACTGGGAAAGTTAGTGAAGACAGTACTGGAACGGACTGGGAAAGTTAGTGAAGAGCAGTACTGGAACGGACTGGGAAAGTTAGTGAAGAGCAGTACTGGAACGGACTGGGAAAGTTAGTGAAGACAGTAAATGGGAAAGGACTGGGAAAGTTAGTGAAGAACAGTACTGGAACAGACTGGAAAAGTTAGTGAAGAACAGTACTGGAACGGACTGGGAAAGTTAGTGAAGAGCAGTACTGTAACGGACTAGGAAAGTTAGCGAAGAACAGTACTGGAACGACTGGAAAGTTAGTGAAGAACAGTACTGGAACGGACTGGGAAAGTTAGTGAAGAGCAGTACTGGAACGGACTGGGAAAGTTAGTGAAGAACAGTACTGGAACGGACTGGGAAAGTTAGTGAAGAGCAGTACTGGAACGGAGTAGGAAAGTTAGTGAAGAACAGTACTGGAACGGACTGGGAAAGTTAGTGAAGAGCAGTACTGGAACGGACTGGGAAAGTTTTGTGAAGAGCAGTACTGGAACGGAGTAGGAAAGTTAGTGAAGAACAGTACTGGAACGGACTGGGAAAGTTAGTGAAGAGCAGTACTGGAACGGACTGGGAAAGTTAGTGAAGAACAGTACTGGAACGGACTGGGAAAGTTAGTGAAGAACAGTACTGGAACGGACTAGGAAAGTTAGTGAAGAACAGTACTGGAACGGACTAGGAAAGTTAGTGAAGAGCAGTACTGGAACGGACTAGGAAAGTTAGTGAAGAGCAGTACTGGAACGGACTAGGAAAGTTAGTGAAGAGCAGTACTGGAACGGACTAGGAAAGTTAGTGAAGAACAGTACTGGAACGGACTGGGAAAGTTAGTGAAGAGCAGTACTGGAACGGACTGGGAAAGTTAGTGAAGAACAGTACTGGAACGGACTGGGAAAGTTAGTGAAGAACAGTACTGGAACGGACTAGGAAAGTTAGTGAAGAACAGTACTGGAACGGACTGGGAAAGTTAGTGAAGAGCAGTACTGGAACGGACTGGGAAAGTTAGTGAAGAGCAGTACTGGAACGGACTGGGAAAGTTAGTGAAGAGCAATACTGGAACGGAGTAGGAAAGTTAGTGAAGAACAGTACTGGAACGGACTAGGAAAGTTAGTGAAGAACAGTACTGGAACGGACTAGGAAAGTTAGTGAAGAGCAGTACTGGAACGGACTGGGAAAGTTAGCGAAGAACAGTATTGGAACAGACTGGGAAAGTTAGTGAAGAACAGTACTGGAACAGACTGGGAAAGTTAGTGAAGAACAGTACTGGAACAGACTGGGAAAGTTAGTGAAGAACAGTACTGGAACAGACTGGGAAAGTTAGTGAAGAACAGTACTGGAACGGACTGGGAAAGTTAGTGAAGAACAGTACTGGAACAGACTGGGAAAGTTAGTGAAGAACAGTACTGGAACGGACTGGGAAGACACTAATACTGCAGAAGAAAAATGTTCCATCCTGTAAAAAAAAATAAAAGTTCACGTCAGCCAACTTAAAATTTAGAGGCTGGCCCAAGAGCTTTAGCTCAACACTAACTCTTGCTGGATAACTATGCAGGGTGACGCCAACTGTATTCAGTGATGATACAGACATGACAGTTGGGCTCACTTGTACTCTGTGATGATACAGACTTTGCCTGGGAGGTTGACATGCACCATGTGATGATGTACTTTGCCTGGGAGGTTGACATGTACCATGTGATGATGTACTTTGCCTGGGAGGTTGACATGTACCATGTGATGATGTACTTTGCCTGGGAGGTTGACATGTACCATGTGATGATGTACTTTGCCTGGGAGGCTGACATGTACTGTGTGATGTACATAGTCTGGGAGGTTGATATGTACTGTGTGATGTACTTTGCCTGGAGGACTGACATGTACTCAGTGATTACGTACTTTGTCTGGGGGCTGACACGTACTCAGTTTTGCCGAAAGTGCCGGTATGTACTCACGGTGATGATAAAGGGCCTGTTAATAGTGAAGAACCGGCCTCCGCTGATGCAAATGGGAGACGACGTCAGCGCCACTGTCAGCTCCCCAAACTATGAAATGTAAACAAGTGCATTATATTTCCTGCCTCTCCCCTCGCCATAAACATACAATATACACCACACAGTGTATGTGAAAGATGCTATACACCAAACAGCTCTCGACTCACGTGGAATTTATCCTTGTCTGAGGCGGTGTAAGGTAGGCCATGACGGAGGACATCCACGCACCTCTCAGCCTATGGAAGTAAAATACACTAGTATATAAACTCATTATACAACTGTATAACTTCATTATACATCCGCATAAACTCTTCATTATTAAGGTCAGAAAGTGTCAGTCAGCATTATCTCAGGCAAGCCAAGTGCAAAATCATACTTGTATTAACATACAACGGAAATGACAGGAGGTTATATGCAGCAGAAAGTTATCATACCTGGAGGGTGTTCCGGGGGTCAACGCCCCCGCGGCCCGGTCCGTGACCAGGCCTCGTGGTTGATCAGGACCTGATCAACCAGGCTGTTACTGCCGGTCGCACGTAGACTAACGTACGAACCACAGCCCGGCTGATCAGGTACTGACTTTAGGTGCCTGTCCAGTTCCTTCTTGAAGACAGCCAGGGGTCTATTGGTAATTCCCCTTATGTATGCTGGGAGGCAGTTGAGCAGTTTATTTCTACATGTACAAGGTATACAGACCATAGTTGACATCAATGACATACTACTACGTATATAGAAAGCCGTTTGTTATGCTGAGCGTTTCTGGCAAATTAGATCAATTTTGTCCCAGGATGCGACCCACACCAGTCCACTAACACCCTCTCACACCTTGGACCAAGAGCCCTTCACCAGGACCAAGGTACGTATCCACTAAAGAGAGACAAAGCTCGGTGAAGGTTCGTAACACAAGTTAAACGGGAGATATTGCATAATTACATTCAACACAAGCGCTAAGCCCATATGTATTAATTTTACCCCCAACGAATAAGAAAATACTGGACAGCCTGGGAAAATTAATAATATACATATTGAACACCGGCTTCCAGGATGAGGGACTGATTACTTTGTCTTCCACTCTCTTTCCTGTATGGTTCTGCAAGGCTTAGGGACTGATTACATTGTCTTCACTGTCTTCTGTGTATAGTTCTACAAGGCTTAGAAACTGATTACCTTGTCTTCCACTGTCTTCTGTGTATAGTTCTGCAAGGCTTAGGGACTGATTACATTGTCTTCACTGTCTTCTGTGTATAGTTCTGCAAGGCTCAGGGACTGATTACCTTGTCTTCCACTGTCTTCTGTGTATAGTTCTACAAGGCTCAGGGACTGATTACCTTGTCTTCCACTGTCTTCTGTGTATAGTTCTACAAGGCTCAGGGACTGATTACCTTAGTTTCTACTGTCTTCATATATCCCCTCGGTATTGAATTGAAAAAGCCACAGGTGGGCGAAATGTCGTCCAATAAAAATACCGAGGTGTTGTACATGTGTCAAATTTCTCACCTCACGAATAATGTAGTTAATTAACTGTTTAAACTGATTTAGATCACGTAGAAACTAATGATTATTGAAGTGTTTCAGAATACTATGTACTTAAAGATAATTAACATACATTCACGTTAAACTGTCAGGAAATATATAATAAACTGCACTGATTGTTAAAATTTCTGAAACATACAAGTCACAATATATATACACGAAGAGGTGTATTCGTCTCGATGTATACTAGTATACACAGAGAGTTTATATTAATCCCTATCAGAGGAATTAAATATTCTTGACTGGTAGCGAAAAGATTACGGGCAGCCTTAATGGCCATAGTGTAGTCAATAGGCTTGACCCCCCCCCCCACCATTAAACCAACAAGGAATCTATTTTGGGTTTCTGTTGATAAAACTAGACTTGGCAGCCTGCTCATGTACCGTGTGTGTGAAGGGTTCTTGATCCAAGGAAATGTTGCTACCAATCATTTGAGCATAAACATTAGGATGTTGGGGCCCAGGTCCTAGGCCTACTTTCGTGCCTACGTAATTTTTTTGATTACCACTCACACTGTGGGTATAAGGTGACTACCACCCACACTGTGGGTATAAGGTGACTACCACTCACACTGTGGGTATAAGGTGACTACCACCCACACTGTGGGTATAAGGTGACTACCACTCACACTGTGGGTATAAGGTGACTACCACCCACACTGTGGGTATAAGGTGACTACCACCCACACTGTGGGTATAAGGTGACTACCACTCACACTGTGGGTATAAGGTGACTACCACCCACACTGTGGGTATAAGGTGACTACCACCCACACTGTGGGTATAAGGTGACTACCACCCACACCGTGGGTATAAGGTGACTACCACCCACACTGTGGGTATAAGGTGACTACCACCCACACTGTGGGTATAAGGTGACTACCACCCACACTGTGGGTATAAGGTGACTACCACCCACACTGTGGGTATAAGGTGACTACCACCCACACTGTGGGTATAAGGTGACTACCACCCAGACTGTGGGTATAAGGTGACTACCACCCACACTGTGGGTATAAGGTGACTACCACCCACACTGTGGGTATAAGGTGACTACCACCCACACTGTGGGTATAAGGTGACTACCATCCACACCGTGGGTATAAGGTGACTACCACCCACACTGTGGGTATAAGGTGACTACCACCCACCCTGTGGGTATAAGGTGACTACCATCCACACTGTGGGTATAAGGTGACTACCACCCACACTGTGGGTATAAGGTGACTACCACCCACACTGTGGGTATAAGGTGACTACCACCCACACTGTGGGTATAAGGTGACTACCATCCACATCATAGATACGGAGTGGCTTCTCCCACATCATGGGTATGGGGTGACTACCATTCACAGGATGGGTATGGGGTGACTAACGCCAACAGGATGGGTATGGGGTGACTAACGCCAACAGGATGGGTATGGGGTGACTAACGCCAACAGGATGGGTATGGGGTGACTAACGCCAACAGGATGCATATGGGGTGACTAACGTCCACAAGATGGGTATGGGGTGATTAACGCCCACAGGATGGGCATGAGGTGACTACCGCTCACAGGATGGGTATGGGGTGACTAACGCCAACAGGATGGGTATGAGGTGACTAACGCCAACAGGATGGGTATGGGGTAACTAACGCCAACAGGATGGGTATGGGGTGACTAACGCCAACAGGATGGGTATGGAGTGACTAATACTGGATGGTATTTTCTGCATTAACAAAACGGCAAGTAAATTCAACAGTATGTATCAGCAACAGGAGCAGCAACAGTAAGAGTGTTAGCAACAGGAACATCAACAGTAAAAGTGTTAGCAACAGGAACATCAACAGTAAGAATGTTAATAACAGGAACATCAACAGTAAAAGTGCTAGCAACAGGAACATCAACAGTAAAAGTGTTAGCAACAGGAACATCAACAGTAAGAATGTCAATAACAGGAACATCAACAGTAAAAGTGCTAGCAACAGGAACATCAACAGTAAGAATGTTAATAACAGGAACATCAACAGTAAAAGTGCTAGCAACAATAACATCAACAGTAAGAGTGTTAGCAACAGCGTAACAGTAAAATATTACCAGGAGGAGTACAACAGTGTCAGTAACAGGGACGTGGGAGTACATGTACGTGCTAGTATGTACATGGGAAAAACACATAACAGAGGACTTGGAAGTCCACACCGAGGATATCTGTTGAGAAAAACTAACTACTATTTAGGTTAAGAACTATCATGTATTATCTAGGTCAAGGATAGAAAAGCAGAAGGCTCACTCCCCATCCTCCACTTGCTCTGGTAACTGCCAGCATGAAAATAGGAGGGAAAAATATACCATACCAGCAACAGGAACATTAACGGTAAGTGTGCAGCAACAGGAACATTAACGGTAAGTGTGCAGCAACAGGAACATTAACAGTAAGTGTGTAGCAACAGGAACATTAACAGTAAGTGTGCAGCAACAGGAACATTAACAGTAAGTGTGCAGCAACAGGAACATTAACAGTAAGTGTGCAGCAACAGGAACATTAACAGTAAGTGTGCAGCAACAGGAACATTAACAGTAAGTGTGCAGCAACATTAACAGTAAGTGTGCAGCAACAGGAAATTAACAGTAAGTGTGCAACAACGGGAACATTAAGTGTGCACCAACAGGAAATTAACAGTAAGTGTGCAACAACGTAAGTGTGCAACTACGTAGAAATTTATATCTGTTTAAATCTACGACTTTTTAACAATTACAAGCATAAACGCTAAATTAACATCAGCACAGTAACAACACAAGAACAAGAAGTCACAATACCGTGACTGGAACAATACACAAATAACCCGCACATAGGATATAGAGAAGCTTACGACGACGCTCGGGCCCGACTTGGACATTAACAAGTCACACTGACAGAAGAGATGGTAAGGTTTGTCAGTAAACAGGACAAGTGTTTCCTGACGCGGGTCTTAGTCATATGATGATTATTATTATTATTATTAAATATTAGCCGGTATTCTCCCGGCCCGGGCCTTTTCCAAGTGGTGGCCCGGCCTTGGCTCCCTCTTTAGGGAGTGTCTGAGACCTAAGTCTCCCATGGGAGGAGGAACAAGTACCTCCTCATCTTTGGGACCAACTGTCCCCAGGCCTAGCCACAAGCTAGGCCTCTCTGGTCTGCCATCCCCGCCACAAGGGGGCAAATGGGAATGACAGTCTTATGAGCTAAAGGCTCGGGCTCAGGCACCTACCCTACCCTAGAAGGGTTAGGCATGGTGTCGATCTCATATGATGACCCACAGCTGGAGCTTTTAGTTATCTGACTGAGGACTTCCACTGGCTTACCCCCTCCCCACCACTTTACAAATCATGGTTATGATTATAACCATTATTCTCTATTAAACAGAATTTAGCGAGTGAGCAGCATATACAGGCGAGAAGGACAGTGGTGGGAGAGAGGAAGCAAAAGTAGTAGTAATGCTGGTAGTGGAAGTAGTAGTAGTAGTGGTAATGCTAGTAGTAGTGGTAATGCTAGTAGTAGTTGTAATGCTAGTAGTAGTGGTAATGCTAGTAGTGGTAATGCTAGTAGTAGTAGTAGTAGTGGTAATGCTAGTAGTAGTAGTAGTGGTAATGCTAGTAGTAGTGGTAATGCTAGTAGTAGTGGTAATGCTAGTAGTAGTAGTAGTAGTGGTGGTGGTAATGCTAGTAGTAGTAGTAGTAGTAGTTAGTAGTAGTAGTAGTTAGTAGTAGTAGTACTAGTAGTAGTTAGTAGTAGTAGTAGTGGTTGTAGAAAGTAGGGGTTGTAGTGTTTAGCTACAATAGAAAGGAGAGTGAAGGAATGCAAAATTAGTAATAGTAGTAGAAAAGGTAGAAGCAGTGAGATTTCGTTCGGATTTTTAACCCCGGAGGGTTAGCCACCCAGGATATCCCAAGAAAGTCAGTGTATCATCGAGGACTGTCTGTCTTTTTTCCATTGTGGTCCTTCAATTTGCCCCCAGGATGCGACCCACACCAATCAACTAACACCCAGGTACATACTTGCTGCTAGGTGAACATGACAGGTGTAAGGAAACGCGTCGAAATGCTTCTACCCCGCCGGGAATCGAACCAGGGCCCTCCGTGTGTGAAGCGAGAGCTTTGCCAGCCAGGCCACGGGGGTCACCAGTAAAGGAGTGGTAACAGTAATGGTATCAGTAATGAATATATTAAGTAAAGCAGATGACGCAGGACCCAGCAAAGCCTAGCCAGTCATAAATTACACTCATTCAAGTTATTCTTCCTCTTATTTATCAGTATTGTCAACGATAAAACTTAATCATCAAGCATTGTATAAGGATGATTTTTTCCACGGTATACAACTAACCTGTAATCATGTCCCAACTATAATTCTAAAGAATTATCCCATAAATTATAGCTACCATCGACCAAGAGTCTTTGTGTCTGCCTCGCTAAGTGAGAGGTGATTATCCTCTTCGAATGATTTAATTAACTTCGGGCATCAATACATTACATGCAGTTTAACTGACAATTACACTCTGGAGTCTCGCTGTCTCGGAATTTCTTTTACATATGTGAGATAATAGCTTCGGAAAACGTGAATTGAAAAGTCGGCTAAAGTAGTGGATGACGGCACACTGGCTGGTCGTCGAGCGAGCAAAATGAAAATGGATGCCATACTTCATAATATATAATCTATAATGGACACATCATCGCTTTGTATTGTACAGTATTGATCGTCGCAGGATAATTCATACGAACGCCCAATTACTTACTACAAATTATACTTTTTTGGTAATATATTTGAGATATTTAGTAACGAAAATTAAAAAAAACTTGTTTCACAGTCACTAAGATGTATTGAAAGTATAGAAAACTCATAAATAAATGAATGGAAAAACAGATCTACCAATGGCTGCATGATCATTGGTAGATTAACAAAGTGTAAAAATGAGAAAACTGTCTAAGGAGAAGATATTTCAGTTTCTGTGTCCACAACACTGCAAGATGACCTGGGTTCAGTCACTCCGAAAATTAAAAAAAAAAAATGGAACATTTCTCCAACTGCGCACATCGTATGAGCATTTCTCTGATTCCTGTAATAATTATTTTAACGCAGTGTAACTCTGGGGGTAAAAATTTCTGTGTAATGTTATGCTTTTGGTAGATAGCGATGACAGTCCTGTACAAGAAGAAGCACTATCATATTCTGTCTATCAACCTGTCTTTATGTAGATATTTCGCTGTCACGACAACGTGTCATATTCTATCTACATTACAATCTTAATATTTCTCTGTCACGACAAGGATTCTACCACTCATTCCTCTTACACTTCAACCTAGATACACTGATGACGGTGAAGGGCTCTTGATCTAAGGATCTGAGGTATCCTCCACATCTTTGGGTCGAATCTGGAAGCCTCGCTAATCGCCGTAACCGACACAATACAACGTAACACTGGAAACCACAAAATTTCTAAAATATTAGCATACATGATAATCAAGCAGGCAAAGCAGCACCTGCCCAGCAACACAGGAGTCACATGAAGTCATCAATTAACCCGTCCTCATCCCAACATGACATTCTTCAGGTCACCATGCGTCACTCACACCTCATTCTCCGCCTATATATAATGCCTTTCTACCTCTGTATTTTAGAAGTGATCAAGGTCGCAGGATCGAAACGTTTTCTAATAAATATGTCGTTTGTTTACGTGTTTTTCTAATCCATTTATGGTGTTGCCTACGCTACTATGTCCCAGGAATCACTCAGACTCAGTAACTTATAGGGTTTATGAAGTTTCTCTGTAACATAATAATGAAGGAACACTTCCATAGGCCTTCTGGTCCATGTTAGACAGCTCTAACTCACACCCACTGATGTACCAGTCCAGTTTAAAACTACTCAAAGTTATCGTCTCAATGATGCTACCTGGGAGTTTATTCTACTCATCTACAACTTTACTGCCAAACCAGTACTTACCTACATCTTTTATAAATCCACTACTGAGTCCTATTATGGTTATAGTTTCATCACGTCAGTTATATACGCTTTATTTATTCCTGCTTTACATCTGTATAATTCTTTAATTATTATTATTATAATCAAGGGGAGCGCTAAACCCATAGGATTATGCAGCGCCGGTGGGGGAGATGTGGAAAGTATTCAGGCTTAATTCAGGGAACTGGAGCACAGATCCAATTCCCAAGATCAAGAGCCCCTCACCAATGTCAAAGAACCTTCCTTGAGGGGAATTCTTTAATAAATCCTTTATTCTATGCCTTCCTGAGAATGCAGGTTTAGTACCTTAAGCCTATCTACATGGGATTTTTATGTTCAGAGACTCAAATAACAGATAATTCACATTACAAAATAAATATGACTGCTGTGTAGCGGGACGGAATTAAAATACTTTTTGATTATATTAAAGTTCATTGTCCATAGTTACATGACTCATCAGGTTGTGGAACATGCCCTTCTCTGCCAGCTGCACGTCACTCCTTCCATCTTATCTCCTGATATTGTATCACAAACCCCTCGCTATTGTTTTCTGGCAGGATATATAGGCTCTTCTTTGAGGACCAGGTGCCGCTAGTGTTTGTTTATATTCATCACTTCCGCCATATTGTTTGTTAATATTCATCACTGCCGCCATATTGTTTATTTATATTCATCACTGATGCCATATTGTTAATATTCATAATTGTCCCCCATATTGTTTGTTTATATCACTGCTGTCATCTTGTTTGTTTACATTCATCACATCTTGTTTGCTTATATTCATCACTTACGCCATATTGTTTGTTTATATTCATCACTATGCCACCATATTGCTTATAGTCATTACTATAACCGCATTGTTTGTTTATATCCATCACTATGCCACCATATTGTTTATAGTCATTACTATAACCATATTGTTTGTTTATATTCATCACTGCCGCCATTTTGTTTGTTTATATTCATCACTTTGCCACCATATTGTTTGTTTACATCTTAAACCTTGTAGCCGCCATATCTTGCGTTTACATAGAAGCTGCGGCATTGTTTTAATATTAAAGTAGTTGAGAAGCTATAGGATATAAGTGTTTGTTCGACATTATGGAGGGGGAGGAGAATGGAATATTGGCTTCGTTTCTAGCGCCCAAGAACGCCATTGATTTGCAGATAGGGGGAGAACAGCGGCCGGTGGTCCTTCAAGGTTAATTTTTCGAACCTCTGGCTTAATCATAGGTGTAGCTCCCCTCCACACAATGGTTTCCCCCGCCTCAACACCTCTGGCTTCCTTCACCCCACACATCTGACTCACCCATGCTCCTGCCCCCATTACTTACCATACCCATTACCATCAGATATAACAACGGTGTTAAATCTAGATGTCTTTCAGTCACTATGTGACTTTGAAAAAGGCAAATTGGCCTCCACATAGCCCCCAATTTGAACCTTGTACCAAGTAAGGTACACCAATTTTAAGGCTTTGAGCTGACCGGATTGGAGTATTCAGTCACATAATTTATTTTTTTCAGTTTCTACATTAAAGTTGACAGTGACACCTAGATAGTCCAAAATGAATATAAGCTTGTCTGTAAGATAAATTAGTGAGGTTAGAAGCCGACCATAGTAGGAATTTTCCACAGAAACTAATTTACATAATAAAAATGGCAAACTGGACTTATAGATCACAAAATGGAGGCGATGCTTCCTTTGAGAAAAACACCAGTATAGAACACAATATTTTTTAAAGGGGGTAGACGTAGGTAAGCCAGTGGAAGGCCTCGGTCAGATGACCAAAAGCAGATGACCAAAAGCTCCAGCTGTGGGTCATCATATGACTAAGACCAGCGTCAGGAAACACTTGATCTGTTTCCTGAGAAACCTTACCTAAACTAACACGCCAGTGCTAAAAGTTTAATGACAACAAGAAGAGATCTCTAATAATCGCACTGAATTCAATACTATAAAGTTCCTCAACTCTTAATAAATTGGCAAATTTGCATGCCTTTCATAAAATACATGTCATTAAAGACTGAAGCCACTCAGAAGAGGCATACATAAGTTATCTCACGGAATAATTCCATACTATTTTAAAACTAGATTTGGTAAACTGGCACCCACACCCTAGCACCAATCCTAGCTAGAATAAAAAGGCACAATACCGTGAATGGAACACTACGCAGCTATGATGACGGATGGGTCGTGGGGGCGGAGTCGTAGAGGTGTGGGAGTGAGTTGTAGGCAGTGTGGTTAAAACTTCCATACAAAGCTGTTATCACATTCATGGGGAAGCTAAACGCATAGGAGTCATGCACCGCTTGGAATGGGAAGATAGCTCCAATTCCTTTAATCAAGAGCCCTTCACCGGCATCAAGGCACGACCTTAGAAGAGAGTGAACAAGGGTAGAGGACTCACCTCTTCACACACTCTGCTAGCTTTGAGGGAAACCAGAAAAAAGACGATGCAGGTCTGGCTGATGATGATGGCTTGCCAAATTGCCTCGTGCCCATAGTACCCAGTGCCCACACCTATACGGTAGGCTACTAAGTACAGCTCCAGACACAGTGTCACCACCTGTGGGCATAAACATACCATAACTACTTCATTGTAAAACTATATCTCTGCAATTGCTGGGAACACAAGAAAAATTTTTGTAATTGCCTATTTGTAACTCAAGGACCAGAGCTATGCTTATCTTGTCCGTCTTCAATACTTATACTCTGATCATATAATTTTCACCACTTGCGGTAGTTATAGCACTTAACAGATTTTTTTGTAATTCAGTCATTGACATATCACTCCGTGGAGAAAAAATTCACAGTAGCTCTTCTGCTCCATTTTTTTTTCTCAGTTGATAAGTGTGGCCTCTTGTTACCTTTGATCCAGGTACGAAAAAATTATCTTTATCTAATGTTTCGTGTTTTTTGATGACTTTATATGTGGCTAACATCCTTTCTTCCTGTCAGCCAGCGTATGCATCTTTAATGGTTTCAATCTTAAAGCATAACGCAGTTATTTAATTCTGGTAACGATTTTGTAGTTCTGGGTCTTATTAAGTTAGGTTAGGTAAGGTTACTTTAGGTTAGGTTAGGTTACGTAAGGTTACTTTAGGTTAGGTTAAGTTACTTTAGGTTAGGTTAGGTAAGGTTACTTTAGGTTAGGTTAGGTTACTTTAGGGTAGGTTAAGTTACTTTAGGTTAGGTTGGGTTACTTTAGGTTAGGTTAAGGTACTTTAGGTTAGGTTACTTTAGGTTACTTTAGGTTAAGTTAAGTTACTTTAGGTTAGGTGAAGTTACTTTAGGTTAGGTTGGGTTACTTTAGGTTAGGTAAGGTTACTTTAGGTTAGGTTACTTTAGAGTAGGTTAAGTTACTTTAGGTTAGGTTGGGTTACTTTAGGTTAGGTAAGGTTACTTTAGGTTAGGTTAGGTAAGTTACTTTAGGTTAGGTTAGGTTACTTTAGGTTAGGTTACTTTAGGTTAGGTTAGGTAAGGTTACTTTAGGTTAGGTTAGGTTACTTTAGGTTAGGTTAGGTAAGGTTACTTTAGGTTAGGTTAGGTTACTTTAGGTTAGGTTAGGTTACTTTAGGTTAGGTTAGGTTACTTTAGGTTAGGTTAGGTAAGGTTACTTTAGGTTAGATTAGGTTACTTTAGGTTAGGTAAGGTTACTTTAGGTTAGGTTAGGTTACTTCAGGTTAGGTAAGGTTACTTTAGGTTAGGTTAGGTTACTTTAGGTTAGGTTAGTTTACTTTAGGTTAGGTTAAGTTACTTTAGGTTAGGCTGGGTTATATATGTTAGGTTAGGTAAGGTTACTTTAGGTTAGGTTAGGTTACTTTAGGTTAGGTTACTTTAGGGTAGGTTACTTTAGGTTAGGTTAGGTAAGGTTACTTTAGGTTATGTTGGGTTACTTTAGGTTAGGTTAGGTTAGGTAAGGTTACTTTAGGTTAGGTTAGGTTGCTTTAGGTTAGGTTAGGTTACTTTAGGTTAGGTTCGGTTACTTTAGGCTAGGTTTGGTTACTTTAAGTTAGGTTTGGTTACTTTAGGTTAAGTTTGTCAGGAAACAGGACAAGTGTTTCCTGACGTGGGTCTTAGTCATATGATTACCCACAGCTGCAGTTTCTGGTCATCTGACAGAGGCCTTCCACTGGCTTACCCGTCCACCACTTTAAAAATTAAGGTTATAATTATAATAATTTTCTCTACCTTTTCTTGATGTTATCTAACTATCCGCGTATTTATTTAACGTGTGGGACACCACACCACCACTGCATAATAATAAATTTAATTTGGCATGATACAAGGTTGTACAAAGGAATATAATAGTTGGGTGTACATGCCAAAAGCCCTTTGTATGCAGAGCATGAAAGTTAAGACACTTGTGCAACATCTGGTTATCTTTATTGCAGACGTTTCGCCATCCAGTGGCTTTATCAATACAAATTCTTGGACATAATTAGAAAACAGAAGAACTATATACAAAAGATGAGGTAATCAGTCCCTCAGCCTTGGAGGTGGTGTTTACAGCACCGTAGTTGTAGAGATTCTGAAGCACACGATACGATACGATAGGACTCACAGGTAAGGACCCACGAGGGGCGAGGGGCAAGTGCGAAGAATAGATGGTGAGAGGAATGTCTTGAGTTGAAGAGAGAAGAGTCAGGACTAGACCCAACTGCTAAGCCTGGATAAACAATAACGAAGTCGACATAAAAATAACAGGGACTCTGGGGGTGCTGACAGCAACTGACTGGAAGCACTTCAACCTGCAATGACTGGATATGGTTCAGGGACATGTTGTTTCAAAGGCGACGCAAAACGCACATCGCAAGCACTTCAGCCCTAAAAACGCACAAAGACACAGCTATACGGCAATGGCACTTTTAAGTTATTTGAATATTTAAGCAAAAAATCAGATAAGTTATGTGTATTGTGGTGGAGGTGCCGGATCATTCAATGATTGAAAAAGATTTACATCATTGTAAGGACGTCTGAGAGTATCATCTAAGTAAGTAGTCATGATATGTTTCAAGTCTGTCAAGTTGTTTGTCACTAAGTGTCTTCCAGTATACGTTCAAAGCTGGTGTGTTTGTCGTGAGGTGGAGAGATTCACAGGTGGCAAATTCGTCCCACCTCACTCCCAACACCCAACGTAATGCACGATTCTGGATACGTTGAAATTTTAGTGCGTTTGTCTTGGCAATTGACGTCAGAGCGAGTGGAAAGTAAGAGAGAAGAGGACGAATGAGAGCTTTGTAAAGATGTAGTTTTGTCTTGGGACTGGCTCCTCTCAGCTTATATAACCTTGAGAGTGCAGTTCCCGCCAGTATGGTCTTTGTAGTGATGTGAGATTTGAAGCTCAGTGTGTGGTCGAGGGTAATACCAAGGACAACTGTCGTGAAAGAGCGTGGGATGGGGGTACGGGAGGTGCTTGTTTTGAGTTCGACAGGAGTGGGGACATCACGCATTCTATGGAAGTAAGTGATTTTTGACTTATTGGGGTTGGTTTTGATGCGCCATAATAATTCCCAGGCGGTAATCCTGTCGACCTCTCTTTGTGTTCTGCGTGCAAGGAAACGAAAATTTTCATGTGTTGTGAGTTGAGTGATGTCGTCAGCGTAGGAAAGGGTAATTGTGTTAGGGTAAAGAGGTTCTGGTAAATCATTTGTGTAGAGTATATATAGGGTGGGGGATAGGACAGAGCCTTGGGGTACACCAGCTTTTAATGTGAAATAGTCAGAATAATGATCTCTGAACCGTATACGCATCGTTCTGCCATCTAAAAAATGACATAATAATTTCATCATATTTAAAGTTAAGTCAAAGGAAGTGCAAAGTTTGTATTTTAATCCTTCATGCCAAACAGTGTCAAAAGCTTTTTCTACATCTTTGGCTACGAGGGCGGAAGTACAGTTCTGGGCTTTATTGATACGTATATAGTTCAGGATCACATTCAAAACGTCTTGGGTAGATCGTTTTTGTCGGAAACCGAATTGTCTTTCAGTAAGCAAGTTATGTGTCTCTAGGTGAGTTCTGAGTCGCATATTTACAAGTCTTTCAAAGGTCTTACCTAAAATTTCAAGAAGGCTAATTGGTCTATAGTTCTTGGGGTCAGTCAAGTCTTTCCCAGGTTTTGGTATGAGACATACAGTTGCAGATTTAAAGAATGGAGGGAAATAGTCAGATGCTAGAGAGGCATTAAAGAGGTCAGTGATAGCAGAAGCAACAGAAAGTGGAAGGTGACGAAGGACTGTATGTGACAGACCTGAAGCTCCTGGAGCTTTTTTTGGAAGGTGTGTTAGTAAGGAGTGAACATCATTAACAGTAAAAGGAGAGTTTAGAGGATGTGTGGAAGATAGGGTATTTAGGTTTATGATTGGGTCAGGATTTGTTAAATCTTCATGGTTGGATACCCATCTTTCTACATCTAATGTGTGTGCTATGGCAGCTTGGTCTGGTGGATGTGGGTGGAAGATGTTTTCCCATATGTCTTTGAAAATATGTACCGCTTCAGCAGGGTCAGAGATCTGTCTGTTGTTGCTGTTTATGTGTCTAAAGGTTGTGGATCGAGGGGTGCCTGTAAGTTTCCGAATGGATGACCAGAATGCTTTGGGATCTCTTGTACGCTGAACATCTGTATGATTTATAATTGATTGCCAATACCGGGCGTGGTCATCATCTAGGCTATGGATGATATGTGTACGTAAAATAGTGAGGTCCCATCGGATGATATTGAGTCTGTTTTGGTTTGCTAAGAAACGGTGTCTGTAACATGTGAGTAATCTTTTTGTTCTTTCTGATGGACGAAAAGAGTATCGTACTTTGTGGTGTGTCATTGGGATAACCTCTGTAGCAGTTTGGGTAATTGATTGTTGAATTTGTGTGTCTATGTCTGATACTGGTCTATTGTTATAGTTGTGTGTGAGATCAAGAGTGTTTAAGCGTTGTTTGAACAGATCCCAGTCTGCCTGAGAATAAGCTGCTGAAGCACAGGTAAGGAGACTGGCGCTTATATAAGCATCAGCGAAGAGGGACGTGTAGCAGACGAGGACATGGTCACTGGTAGGTGGGATTCCCCAGTGGAAGTGGGTCCTTCCCAAATTGATGGGCTAGTTGTAGAAGTCGTGAAGAAAGTCATGTAGATGTCCTCTGAATCAAGATACCATGATGTTGCAGTGCCTGACAAGTTGTGCAAGACAGGTATGCAGAGCATTTCGGGCATATTTCAGTATTGGCCTAATATAGGTTATTAATAAATTTTTTAGCATTTATCCATTCATATAATCAATATACTTTAAGCCGTTTTAATATTCTCTAGAGTGTCACATGAGTTTCTCACAACTTTGTTTATAGGGTTACCAGATTACTAGGTTCATTTCTCTGACATTTTCGAGCAGCGCTGTATAGCCCTTGTGGCTTAGCGCTTCTTTTTGATTATAATAATAATATCTGACATTTTCGATAATTTATAATGATCTGAATTTTTCCTGGGGTCTGATGTTACTCACTTCCATTTCTATTAAATATCCTTTATCTACATTATATTCCATCGTCTATCTGTCACTTTATTTACTCAGTTTATCCTAGTCATCACGAAAAAAATCATACCGTCTTTTTTTATTATTGATGGGACGTAATATTTTTATTTCCTGTGCAAATATATTCTTGTGTTTCTTATTCCTTCTGGTAAATCACTTACATAATTTAAAAATATCATTAGGGCACCCCACTTGTGGTCACCAGTTGTTAGTGAAGGCAGTGTTGGTGAAGGCTGCTAGAGAAGGCAGTGTTGGTGAAGGCAGTGTTGGTGAAGGCAGTGTTGGTGAAGGCTGCTAGAGAAGGCAGTGTTGGTGAAGGCAGTGTTGGTGAAGGCAGTGTAGGTGAAGGCTGTGTTAGTGAAGGCAGTGTTGGTGAAGGCAGTGTTGGGGAAGGCTGTGTTAGAGAAGGCAGTGTTGGTGAAGGCTGTGTTGGTGAAGGCTGTGTTAGTGAAGGCTGTGTTGGTGAAGGCAGTGTTGGTGAAGGCAGTGTTGGTGAAGGCAGTGTTTGTGAAGCGTGTGGTGTAAGGCAGTGTTGGTGAAGGCAGTGTTGGTGAAGGCTGTGTTAGTGAAGGCAGTGTTGGTGAAGGCAGTGTTGGTGAAAGCAGTGTTGGTGAAGGCAGTGTTAGTGAAGGCAGTGTTGGTGAAGGCTGTGTTAGTGAAGGCAGTGTTGGTGAAGGCAGTGTTGAAGGCTGTGTTGGTGAAGGCTGTGTTAGTGAAGGCAGTGTTGGTGAAGGCTGTGTTGTGGAAGGCATGTTGTGAAGGCAGTGTTGGTGAAGGCGGTGTTGGTGAAGGCTGTGTTAGTGAAGGCAGTGTTGGTGAAGGCAGTGTTGGTGAAGGCTGTTAGTGAAGGCAGTGTTGGTGAAGGCAGTGTTGATGAAGGCTGTGTTAGTGAAGGCAGTGTTGCTGAAGGCAGTGTTGGTGAAGGCTGTGTTAGTGAAGGCAGTGTTGGTGAAGGCAGTGTTGTGAAGGCTGTTGTGAAGGCAGTGTTGGTGAAGGCAGTGTTGGTGAAGGCAGTGTTGGTGAAGGCAGTGTTGGTGAAGGCTGTGTTAGTGAAGGCAGTGTTGGTGAAGGCAGTGTTGGTGAAGGCAGTGTTGGTGAAGGCTGTGTTAGTGAGGGCAGTGTTGCTGAAGGCAGTGTTGGTGAAGGCTGTGTTGGTGAAGGCTGTTAGCGAAGGCTGTGTTGGTGAAGGCTGTGTTGGTGAAGGCTGTGTTGGTGAAGGCTGTGTTGGTGAAGGCTGTGTTGGCGAAGGCCGTGTTGGTGAAGGCTGTGTTAGTGAAGGCTGTGTTGGTGAAGGCAGTGTTAGTGAAGGGAGTGTAGGTGAAGGCTGTGTTGGTGAAGGCTGTGTTGGTGAAGGCTGTGTTGGTGAAGGCTGTGTTGGCGAAGGCCGTGTTGGTGAAGGCTGTGTTAGTGAAGGCTGTGTTGGTGAAGGCTGTGTTAGTGAAGGCAGTGTAGGTGAAGGCTGTGTTGGTGAAGGCTGTGTTAGTGAAGGCAGTGTTGGTGAAGGCTGTGCTGGTGAAGGTTGTGTTAGTGAAGGCGTGTTATGTGAAGGTGTGTGGCTGTGTGAAGGTGTTGTGTTGAAGTGAAGGCTGTGTTAGTGAAGGCTGTGTTAGTGAAGGCTTGTGTGTGAAGCTGTGTTGTAAGGCAGTGTTGGTGAAGGCTGTGTTAGTGAAGGCTGTGTTGGTGAAGGCTGTGTTAGTGAGGAGTGTATGAGGCTGTGTTGGTGAAGGCTGTGTTAGTGAAGGCGTGTTGTGAAGGCTGTGTGTGAAGGCTGTGTTAGTGAAGGCTAGTGTAGGTGAAGGCTGTGTTGGTGAAGGCTGTGTTAGTGAAGGCAGTGTTGGTGAAGGCTGTGCTGGTGAAGGCTGTGTTGGTGAAGGCTGTGTTAATGAAGGCTGTCTTAGTGAAGGCTGTGTTAGTGAAGGCAGTGTTGGTGAAGGCTGTGCTGGTGAAGGCTGTGTTGGTGAAGGCTGTTAATGAGGCTGTTTAGTGAAGGCTGTGTTAGTGAAGGCAGTGTTGGTGAAGGCTGTGTGTGAAGGCTGTGTTGGTGAAGGCTGTGTTAGTGAAGGCTGTGTTAGTGAAGGCTGTGTTAGTGAAGGCAGTGTTGGTGAAGGCTGTGTTAGTGAAGGCTGTGTTGGTGAAGGCTGTGTTAGTGAAGGCAGTGTAGGTGAAGGCTGTGTTGGTGAAGGTTGTGTTAGTGAAGGCAGTGTTGGTGAAGGCTGTGCTGGTGAAGGCTGTGTTGGTGAAGGCTGTGTTAGTGAAGGCTGTGTTAGTGAAGGCTGTGTTAGTGAAGGCAGATGTAAGGCTGTGTACGAAGGCTGTGTTGTGAAGGCTGTATTAGTGAAGGCTGTGTTGGATGAAGGCTGTGTAGTGAAGAATGTAGGTGAAGGCTGTGTTGGTGAAGGCTGTGTCTAGTGAAGGCAGTGTTGGTGAAGGCATGTGTTGGTGAAGGCTGTGTTGTAAAGGCTGTCTGGTGAAGCTGTTTGGTGAAGCAGTGTTGTGAGGCGTAGTGGAGCAGGTTGGTGACAGTGTAGTGGAGCATGTTGTGGAGAGTTTGTGAAGTGAGGAGAGAGAGAGAGAGAGAGGAGCTTACCTGTGTAGCATAAAAACACTGGAGCGTGGAGGAGAAGATTGTCTCAGTCTTGCGCACCATCATCACCACCTGGCAGTGACTCTGTACCAGCTGGTCCAGCTGCACCACCTGGCAGGAGCTGTGCTGTTCCAGATGGTCCAGGCCAGCGTCCTGCCATGCCACTATCGCACACAACTCATTAACAAAAAATATTAACTGATGTACAAAAATTACTTATCCAAACAAGATGTAATTATATTTAACTCCCCATATAAGATTTACCATGGAGAGTGTGAGAGAGTTGGTTCCTCCATCCCTCTAGGACGTTGTGTAGCATATGACAGATGGACACGAAGAGGAAGAGTGAACCTTTGTAGACCATGTAGAGGTGACAGACTACAAGCGCCACCACCACACGCACCACCTGTCGACATATTTGTCACTGTTAAGCACCGTACCTGTCATCATCACACCTGTTACTAGTAACTAACCAACTTGTCATTACAAACTTTATTTCTATAATGTAGAGTACAGAATAGTATACAATTAGTGATTAGCACATGTAGTTACTTTATAGAACCCCCCCCCCCTGTTTGCAAAGCATTACGGTTACCAGCAGCCTAATTGGTTTAGATATAGAACTCTCATTAGTATACGGAGGATCGAGCCTTCACAACTCCATGCGCTGATCAATTGGTTTATTTATTTTAAAGCCTATCTACTATGCTTGACCGGTGTGTACAGGTGACTGCACGTCACCTGTACACACCGGTCAAGCATACTTTGATAATTACAAACTGGGATTAATGTAGACTCAGTGTACAGTCTGCTTGCCCACACAGGTTTAGTGCTTCACTTCAGTGATAATAAAGGAACTATAACGGACGAACATGGGTGAAAATAAAAGTTATAGGATCAATAAATAATGATGGATCAGTAAAGAAGGGACAGTAATATAATTATGAAGGAGGGACAGTAATATAATTATGAAAGAGGGACAGTAATAAAGTTTACACAGGGAAGTACTTTCACCGCCACTGCAAGGTAAACAATGTCAAACCAACAACGGACACCCAAGCCTCACTTTACGGGACACATTATTGACCAATGTTCCCTGCGAACCTCTTTTGCCCCTGCTCACCCCTCCCCCCTTCCTCTCTCTCTCTCTTACCTGGACGGCAAGGGTCTCCTGGGCAAGCCACTGAGGAGACACGAGAAACAGGACTTGGGTCAGGAGATCAACAATTCCCATAAGCATGTCCGATGGGCCAAGAACTGCCACAACCAACACTGCGAAGACGAAGGCGTAGAGGAAGATAGCGTAGACGCAGGAGGCGAACCTGAGCCTCCTGGTGGGGTCGAGGGAGGTGCGGGCGCTGAACATTTGCCACAGGTTGAGGAAATTACACAGGGAGCGCCCCAGAATGATGACATTGATGACTTCAACCCAGGCATTCAGGAGACATCCGACGATAATGACGACGCCCATCAGTTCCAGTTCGTGGTTGCCAGACTCCTGCAGGAACTGCGACTGCACGAACACCCTCACAATACCGACAGAGGTGGAGACAAGAAGGGCGCAAAGCCACAGGAACACTCCTATGGTGTGGAGGCCAGCCCAACTACGCCAGTTAAGAACATATCGGTGGGTATCGCTGTTGTAGCTGTAAGGCACGATGCCCAGCAGGCTAAGTGTTATCCTGATGAGCAGAAGCGGCCGGTGCAGTAGGTCCTTCTCCTTAGTCTCCTCCTCGTCTCCTCCGCCTTCCCCCGCCAGATCTCTGCCCACTGTCCACAGTCCCTGCGGTTGGAGTGCCGTCCCCGGCGCCGCAAGCGGCTTAGTTTTGCCCCAACACCTCGGCATCGCTAACACAGCAACAATCAACACCAGTGTGAGACTGAGAATAGTGAGGCGTGCTCCCCCTCGACCCCTCCAACACACCTCCCACACCTGTACCTGCTGCTGCTGATACTGCTTCCTTGCTGCTTTAATTAAACTTACGTTGTTGCTACCGTTGCTACAGCTTTTGCTATTAGATGCTGCTACTACTGTTGCTGTTCTTGCTGCTGTTACTGTTGTTGCTGCTGCTGCTACTATTGTTCCTGGAGTTTACCTGGAGAGAGTTCCGGGGATCAACGCCCCCGCGGCCCGGTCTGTGACCAGGCCTCATGGTGGATCAGAGCCTGATCAACCAGGCTGTTACTGCTGGCTGCACGCAATCCAACGTACGAGCCACAGCCCGGCTGGTCAGGTACCGACTTTAGGTGCTTGTCCAGCGCCTGCTTGAAGACTGCCAGGGGTCTATTGGTAATCCCCCTTATGTATGCTGGGAGGCAGTTGAACAGTCTCGGGCCCCTGACACTTATTGTATTGTCTCTTAACGTGCTAGTGACACCCCTGCTTTTCATTGGGGGGATGTTGCATCGTCTGCCAAGTCTTTTGCTTTCGTTGTGAGTGATTTTCGTGTGCAAGTTCGGTACTAATCCCTCTAGGATTTTCCAGGTGTATATAATCATGTATCTCTCCCGCCTGCGTTCCAGGGAATACAGGTTCAAGAACCTCAAGCAATTGTAATTGAGGTGTTTTATCTCCGTTATGCGCGCCGTGAAGGTTCTCTGTACATTTTCTAGGTCAGCAATTTCACCTGCCTTGAAAGGTGTTGTTAGTGTGCAGCAATATTCCAGCCTAAATAGAACAAGCGACCTAAAGAGTGTCATCATGGGCTTGGCATCCCTAGTTTTGAAGGTTCTCATTATCCATCCTGCTAACACTTCTACTAACACTTCTGCTACAACTACTGATGGTGCTGCTGTTACTTTTGCTACTTTTCCCTTTTTTGTTCCGTTGTATTTGAGTTAGTAAGTAAGTAAGTAAGTTTATTCAGGTATACACAAATACAGTTACATAGAATTATCATACATAGCAGCATATATGTAGAGAACCTAGGATAACCCAAAAAAGTCAGACAGAGTGACTTATTTCCAATTGGGGTCATATGACTAAAACCTGCGTAAGAAAACACTCGTCCTGTTTCCTGACGAAACTTAACAAACCTAACCTATCACTCCTGAAGTATTCACCTTATTAACTAGTGTTTGATTCATTCAGTGAAGACTAGGTCCAGTGTGGCTGGCTTATCTTCTCAACTCGCCAAACGGAGGGTTCAAACTCAAGGCAAGCCACTGCAGAAATTAGCAGGTCAGTGCGTTATCCATTGTACCATACCAGGAGCACACTACACCATACTGCCTGGCATGGTACAGTGGACAGCGCTCTGGCCTGCTAGGAAAATTTTAAGATTGGTTCTCCATGGGTTCATAACCTCCATTTTGTGAGTTGTTTATAATCATACTATTACAATTTCGCGATTTTTCTCTCAATCTTGTTTCTATTATATATTTTCTCATAAAGTTTTCCCAGATTTAATCCATTATTTTCAACTCATAGAACAGGCAAGATCCGAACCCATACCAAGCTAGTTTTAAAATCAGCAAACTAGTGTTCTAACAGAATCTATTATCTTTTTCAAACCCCAGTGTAGGTCCCAGTTCTCAAATTATGTGACACTTAATGTAACAGTGATGTAACGCCCTTCATGTATGTTCTCCTTTCCATTATATGACTAAATTACCCATTTAAATATTTGATATAAGACATCCCCCCAAAAGTCCTATTGTTATTTTAACAAAGTTTGTTCTTTATATAATATAAACACAATTCCACGGGAATATACCTCCTTATTTCACTATCTTAACCTAAAGGTGTATATATGTATGCTGAGAGACTGTTGTAAAAGAGACTGCGAGAATAATTGTGTCCCGTGGCTCAGTTGGTAGCACGCTAAGCTTATATACTGATTATCTGTGGTTCGATCTTGGCACGGGTGGGACTGTTAATAATATCTTTATTTACAACAAGTACATGTACAAGGTATACAGATTGCAGACCATAGCTGAGATCATTGACATACTACTATATAGAAAGCCCCTTCTTATGCAGAGCATTTCGGGCAAATTAGGTCAGTTTTTGTTCCAGGATGCGACCCACACCAGTCAACTAACACCCAGGTACCCATTTTACTGATGGGGAACATAGACAATCGGTATAAGGAAACACGTCCGATGTTTCCACCCCTTCGCCGGGAATCGAACCCGGACCCTCGCCGTGTGAAGCGAGAGCTTTTGCCACCAGGCCACGGGGCATGTTTCTTTACACCTGCTGTCCCTGTTCACCTAACTATAAGTAATTACCTGGGTGTTAGTCGACTGTTGTGGTTGGCATCCCAAGAGGGTGGTATTATACCTTAGATAGGGCCGGGTTTTGAAATGAGTTGAGGTAGGATAACAGCTCTTAGCCTATTAAATTGATGTGTAAAAAAATAAAAGAACTCAGCTTCGTTAAACTCAAGAACCAACAAAGTCGATTAATTTCCGAGTATCTAGTTGCTGCTAGGTAACGGGCATCAGATGTTAGGAGACTTGCCCATACCTGACGTCTCGTTAAGGGTTCGACCCCAGGTTCTTTCAGTTGTCAGCCAAACTTACTACCACTGGGCGTTAATCGATCGTTGTCAGTCGCATCCCAGGGAATCGTCAAGTACTGCTGCAAACCAGGTATACCACTGTCCAACAAGGTATCATTACAAATTGAGTTTCAGACAGGTATTATGGCGTGAACCATCTACTTACACGCAAACATTGTTTATTTTCGTCTTATACAGGTTGGTAAGTGGGATTGTGTGACTCACATGTGACTTATTTTTATTGTTAAAAGCCTATCAGTAGTCGGTCAAATATCTTAGGTCAATCCCGAATTGCTTTTTAAACTAAACTGTGAATTCTTTTAGTTAAAATTATGCCTAAAATATCATGGCTTCTCAAAGTTTTCTTATATGGATGGAAGCCAAAGAAAGCGTTGCATGTATTTATGGGTAACTAAACTAAATATGCGTAAGGCTCTATTATTTTTGGGCTTTATTTCTTAATATCTGCAGTGTTTGTGTGCTAATGCCATCTTCTTAATTTTTAACTAAGATTATTTGTAATGTTATTGAATGGATATTTGAGGGGTTTCATTGTACTGGGAATGGGGGATAATCAAGTGTGATCCAAGGAGAGAGACGGCGACTCCAGTTACTTGGATCAAGAGTCCTTTGTCGTTGCAGAATTGTTCTTACTCCGAATGAACTGAAGACTGATTGCTTAATGGAGTTTCAATCCTGTTTACTACACGATGGTCATTAAGGCTAAACGTGGCCTTTTCACCATAGACAAGAATACTTTAATCACTAAAATGGGGATTAAACTTTTAGCATACGTAGAGAAATACACCTCATTGAATATACTCTATAAATTTAAAGATTAGTGCTTTCTGAATTAGCTATATTTCTGCAAGAAACGCTGTTGTTAATTTTGACTTTTTGGGTTATCCTAGGTAATTTACACTATGTATGATAATTGTACTTATGTGTACCTGTGTCTAAATAAACTTACTTATTTATTAGCACGATAACAAAACACTGTTCACCAAGACGCAGTTTATATATATATATATATTTTTATATATTTTAATATATATATATATATTATATATATATAATTATTAAAATATATATATATATATATAAACTATTGTATTCCCGGGTTTGGGGTTGGGTTTGGCTCAGGAAAACACGTACAACTCCAATTAAAATTTTTATTTATAAAAGCTATGGTAAGGGCGGTGGAGGTGATGATGGAGTATTAGCAACAACAGCTGTGGCTGCTGTTGTTGCTGCTTCTCACACAACACATTATGAATACATATACTTATCTACATATTGTGCACGCTCTAAGTATTTTTACCAACTGATATTAATGTATTGTGTATCAAATAAATTCAGATTATCTATATCATAAATTATACATATACATATACGTTTTAACGCGTACTTACTTTTTTCTGAACAAATAATTTTTCACTGCACAATATGATCGACACCCGCCATGCGAGTGTGAAGCTGGTATACATAAAATGATGTATGGCTTCAAGTAGCGAAGAGTGATAAAAATATAACATAAATATCCCGAGGAATGATTGAGTGGATGAAGCGATGGAAGATGATTGATGTGGAGCGCTGGGATGGCACGACTAGTCCACCTCCTCCATTCGTGAAGCATCCTCCTCGTCGCCCTCCAGAGGAGGCATGTCATCGAGTGGGTTAGTGTCCTCAGGAATGTTGAGGGTGTCATCGTCCTCGATACCCAATCCTAAATTAATCATCCTGTAGATCCTGGCGGCGTGCACTCCCGGGTCCTCCAGGTTGAATCCAGAAGCCAGAAGGGACGTCTCGAAAAGAAGCATAACTAGATCCTTAACAGATTTGTCATTTTTGTCTGCATCAGCCCTCTGTCTGAGGGTTTCTATAATACTGTGGTCTGGGTTGATCTCTAGGTGCTTCTTGGCAGCCATGTAGCCCATGGTAGAAGTATCTCTCAAGGCCTGGGCTTTCATGATTCGTTCCATGTTGGCTGTCCACCCATACTGTGAAGTCACTATGCAGCAGGGAGAAGTCACAAGACGGTTGCTCACAACCACCTTTTCTACCCGTTTGTCTAGGATGTCCTTTATCACCTGTGGAACACAATGAGTCTCAGATACACTAACGAAGTAATGTAATACTCAGTGAGAAACCTTTATATATGTTTACTATATATATATTTTTATATTTTTATATATATTATAATAAAATATATTTATATATATTATATATTATATATATTATATATATATATTTTCAACAAGTCGGCGTCTCCCACCGAGGCAGGGTGACCCAAAAAAGAAAGAAAATCCCCAAAAAGAAAATGCTTTCATCATTCAACACTATCACCACACTCACACATAATCACTGTTTTTGCAGAGGTGCTCAGAATGCAACAGTTTAGAAGCATATACGTATAAAGATACACAACATATCCCTCCAAACTGCCAATATCCCAAACCCCTCCTTTAAAGTGCAGGCATTGTACTTCCCATTTCCAGGACTCAAGTCCGACTATATGAAAATAACCGGTTTCCCTGAATCCCTTCACTAAATATTACCCTGCTCACACTCTAACAGATCGTCAGGTCCCAAGTACCATTCGTCTCCATTCACTCCTAACACGCTCACGCACACTTGCTGGAAGTCCAAGCCCCTTGCCCACAAAACTCCTTTACCCCCTCTATCTAACCCTTTCGAGGACGACCCCTACCTCGCCTTCCTTCCCCTATAGATTTATATGCTTTCTATGTCATTCTACTTTGATCCATTCTCTCTAAATGACCAAACCACCTCAACAACCCCTCTTCTGCCCTCTGACTAATGCTTTTATTAACTCCACACCTTTTCCTAATTTCCACACTCCGAATTTTCTGCATAATATTTACACCACACATTGCCCTTAGACAGGACATCTCCACTACCTCCAACCGTCTCCTCGCTGCTGCATTTACCACCCAAGCTTCACACCCATATAAGAGTGTTGGTACTACTATACTTTCATACATTCCCTTCTTTGCCTCCATAGATAACGTTTTTTTGACTCCACATATACCTCAATGCACCACTCACTTTTTTTCCCTCATCAATTCTATGATTAACCTCATCCTTCATAAATCCATCCGCCGACACGTCAACTCCCAAATATCTGAAAACATTCACTTCTTCCATACTCCTCCTCCCCAATTTGATATCCAATTTTTCTTTATCTAAATCATTTGATACCCTCATCACCTTACTCTTTTCTATGTTCACTTTCAACTTTCTACCTTTACACATTCCCAAACTCATCCACTAACCTTTGCAATTTTTCTTTAGAATCTCCCATAAGCACAGTATCATCAGCAAAAAGTAACTGTGTTAATTCCCATTTTGAATTTGATTCCCCATAATTTAATCCCACCCCTCTCCCGAACACCCTAGCATTTACTTCTTTTACAACCCCATCTATAAATATATTAAACAACCATGGTGACATTACACATCCCTGTCTAAGACCTACTTTTACCGGGAAGTAGTCTCCCTCTCTTCTACACACCCAAACATGAGCCTCACTATACTCATAAAAACTCTTTACAGCATTTAGTAACTTACCACTTATTCCATATACTTGCAACATCTGCCACATTGCTCCCCTATCCACTCTATCATATGCCTTTTCTAAATCCATAAATTCAATAAAAACTTCCCTACCTTTATCTAAATACTGTTCCCATATATGCTTCAATGTAAACACTTGATCTACACATCCCCTACCCACTCTGAAACCTCCTTGCTCATCCACAATCCTACATTCTGTCTTACCTCTAATTCTGTCAATTATAACCCTACCGTACAATTTTCCTGGTATACTCAATAAACTTATTCCTCTATAATTTTTACAATCTCTTTTGTCCCCTTTCCCTTTATATAAAGGGACTATACATCCTCTCCACCAATCCCTAGGTACCTTCCCCTCTTTCATACATTTATTAAACTTATTCCTCTATAATTTTTACAATCTCTTTTGTCCCCTTTCCCTTTATATAAAGGGACTATACATGCTCTCCGCCAATCCCTAGGTACCTTCCCCTCTTTCATACATTTATTAAACAAAAGTACCAACCACTCCAACACTATATCCCCCCCTGCGTTTAACATTTCTGTCATGATCCCATCAGTTCCAGCTGCTTTACCCCCTTTCATTCTACGTAATGCCTCACGTACCTCCACCACACTTACATTCTGCTCTTCTTCACTCCTAAAAGATGGTATACCTCCCTGACCAGTGCATGAAATTACCACCTCCCTTTCTTCCTCAACATTTAAAAGTTCCTCAAAATATTCTCGCCATCTACCTAATACCTCCATCTCCCCATCTACTAACTCCCCTACTCTGTTTTTAACTGACAAATCCATACTTTCCCTAGGCTTTCTTAACTTGTTTAACTCGCTCCAAAAATTTTTCTTATTTTCATTAAAATTTCTTGACAGTGCCTCTCCCACTCTATCATCTGCTCTCCTTTTGCACTCTCTCACCACTCTCTTCACCTTTTTTACTCTCCATATACTCTGCTTATCTTATAACACTTCTGCTTTGTAAAAGCCTCTCATAAGCTAACTTTTTCTCTTTTATCACACCCTTTACTTCATCATTCCACCAGTCACTCCTCTTTCCACCTATATATTTAAAAAATTAGTGCGCATTGTGACTGTGGAAAGTGATTAATATAATTTTAATGTGATTGCAATGATGACATGAATCTCGTTAACATTATCTTGCTTAATTTATAGGTCAAAGAATTTAGTCATCACAGAATCTGCTCCTCTAGATTAAATGTGAGATAAAAGTATTTTACTATTTTACGTGTAATGCATAATCTCTCACCTTGCATAGATTTTCCAATTTCTGCTTCTGTTCCTCTAATTTCTTCTTCTCCTCCTCGTCGTCCGGAAGCTCTAGACCTTCCTTGGTGACGGACACGAGCTGCTTGCCGTCGTATTCCTTCAGTTGCTGGATGCAGTACTCGTCGATGGGGTCAATCATGTAGATTATTTCAAAGCCTCGCTTCTTCACCCTCTCGACGAAGGCAGAGTTAGCAACAGCATCGCGACTCTCGCCAGTGATGTAGTAGATCTGCTTCTGATTCTCCTTCATGCGGGAGACGTAGTCCTTCAGGCTGCTCATCTCATCACCTGATGCTGAAGTGTAGAATCGCAAAAACTCTGCCAGTTTCTTGCGGTTGGTGGAGTCCTCGTGAATGCCTAGCTTGATGTTTTTGGAGAAATTCTCGTAGAACTTCTTGAATGAGTCTTTATCTTCCATGAGCTCCTCAAAGAGTTCCATGGCCTTCTTCACCAAGTTCTTGCGGATTACCTTCAGGATCTTGTTCTGCTGAAGCATCTCACGAGAAATGTTCAGAGGAAGATCTTCAGAGTCGACAACTCCAGTGATGAAGTTGAGGTATTCAGGGATGAGCTCCTCACAATTGTCCATGATAAATACACGTCGCACGTACAACTTGATCTTGTTTTTCTGTTTTCGGTTCTCAAAAAGATCAAAAGGTGCCCGGCGGGGAACAAAGAGAAGCGCACGGAACTCCAGCTGGCCTTCAACACTGAAGTGTTTAATTGCTAAGTGATCTTCCCAGTCGTTGGTAAGTGATCTGTAAAACTCTCCGTATTCCTCCTGTGATATGTCATCTGGGTTGCGAGTCCACAGTGGCTTGGTCTTATTGAGTTCCTCATCCTCCATGTACTTCTCCTTCACTGTCTTCATTTTTTTGGCTTTTACGGTGCTTTTATCGGCCTCGTCATCTGCACCCACGTCCTCCACCTTTGGCATGTCATCTGTCTTGGGCACCTCTTCATCCTTCTCCTCTTCATCATCATCAGGGATTTGCTGAATTAGTGAAGATTGAAAATAAACGTTAATAACGTGGCATTAAGGGGTAAATTACTTAAACCAAGTTATACAAAGAAATACAATAAGGGAAGCGGTATATATTTGATGAAGTTTCATCCGGTCATGGCCTATCCAAAATCAAGGTCGTGTTTGGAGACAATCCATGACTGATTTGTTTGATATTTTTCTACATTTCTTCAGTGATCTTGACAACTTTTCTACCTCTTTGCATTATGGGGAAGACATGTCTTTGAAGTGTTATAAATGATTTTAGTAAATTTGGAGTGAGAATACTGAGAAAAGGAAAACTGTAAACTCATAAAACTAAATGGGGGAAATCTAGTGAACTGTAGTATGGTGTGTAGTGCCTTACCTTCTCCCGTTCCTTCTCCACCAGCAGCTTGATGGGGTAACCAATAAACTGAGAATGCTTTTTGACCACCTCCTTGATGCGTCGCTCCTCTACGTACTCAGCCTGATCCTCCTTCAGGTAGAGTGTGATCTTCGTCCCTCGAGCCAGAGGAAAACCTGGAGTACACATAGCATTGTTATAAACACAGACGAAAACACACAAAGCTTTGGGAATACACAACGAAGTTATATACATATCTTTCGTATATTAAGTGCCTGTATGAAGTAGATTAACACCTGGGAACTATCAAGTAAATTTTAAAATCTTAGCCAGCATTAGTCATTAAGATACAACAGTACACTGACAGGAATGAGAGATAATATACTTTGTGTGAACATATTTAAGCAATTTAATATATGAAGGAGTGTGCACCTACTCTATTCTATGTAATAGCTACATAGTGGGAACAAAAAAATTAGCTGTTTCTTTTTCATTTTCCATCTTGCAAAATGGGTTACATACACAGAGTTGGAATCTGTTAGCCTGAGCTTGGAGACTTAATAGGACAATGCGTATAACGTCAAATATCCCATTAGTCATATATTCTCTTATGTGCGAACAAAAGGGAGTAGAATGTTATACTCACTTTTGTCAGGACGTATGGTAAAGGAACCACCAGCAGCAGACTCCCAGGTGTACTGCTCATCGTCGTTGTGTTTAGAAGTGACTACGACCTTGTCAGCCACCAGATAGGCAGAGTAGAAGCCAACACCAAATTGACCAATCATAGAAATGTCTGCGCCTGCCTGCAGTGCCTCCATGAAAGCCTTGGTGCCTGACTTTGCGATGGTACCCAAGTTGTTGACCAGGTCAGCCTTGGTCATGCCCACCCCCGTGTCGATGATGGTGAGTGTACGCTCGTTCTTGTCCAGCTCGATCCTGATAGTGAGGTCCTTGCCGGTGTCCAATTTAGAGGGGTCTGTAAGCGATTCATAGCGAATCTTGTCCAGAGCATCAGAAGAGTTGGAGATGAGTTCTCGAAGGAAGATTTCTTTGTTACTGTAGAAAGTGTTGATGATAAGGGACATCAACTGGGCGATCTCCGCCTGGAAAGCAAAGGTTTCCACTTCTTCCATTGTTTCTTCAGGCATCTGCGAAAGCACAAGAATGACGGACGTGAGAACAGGGCAAGTACTACTAGGATACTCTCCCTTCCCCTGCCTATCGTTTAGTATACGGAGAATCGAGCCGTCATCACACTTATACTTAATCACACCGATTAGTACGTAAATAACCCGCATATAGGAGAGAGGTGGTGGTGACGTCTCGGTCTGACTTAGACTATTTACAAGTCTCCTTGTTATTTGTTCATTGCTCCGGTCACGGTATTGTGCTTTTTTGTTCTTTACACAGATTTAGTATATAATAATAATAATATCAACTAATAATGACGGAAGGTGTGAAAGTCATTATTTCCTGCCTTTAACTGGTGACATATATGCAGTGCTACCTGTTCATTGAAAAAGTTAAGGATGGAGTGGTTATCGCCAGTGACGTGTCAGTTCTTTGGGCTGCAGTGTATCGTCTTTGCTGCATTATGTTTATTCCGTGTTGTCCAATAAACTCGCCTCTGGACAAAAATCTAAAAAAAAATAAAAGTTGTGGTACTAATCATCACATCCTGATCTGTTCTATTGTTTTACCTAGCCTGTCTATTCGTCCTCCTATTTTAATGGGCCATCTAAATGACAAGACCAGTGTCACGAAGCACTTGCCCTTGTTCCTGACGAATAAAATAATAATCGTCCTCCATCCGTCACCTAGCAGCTGGGTGTCTGTGAGGGCAGCAGCTGGATGTGTGTGAGGGCAGCAGCAGGGTATCTGTGAGGGCAGCAGCTGGGTATCTGTGAGGGCAGCAGCTGGGTGTGTGTGAGGGCAGCAGCTGGGTGTCTAGGTAGGGTCCTCCTCTGGGCCGCCACCCGGGGTCCCAAAATAGCCTGACCAGCGTGGAGACCTCGTGGGGAGGGATCAATGCATCCACCAACTAATATAAGTTTTCAACATAACATTTCCTTTCGTCATCAGTGTCATGTTCATGTTCATTGTGTAACTGTGCCCATCACCCCTGTAAACAATTCATTGAAAGTGTAACTTGCTTAAGAGAAAGTTGGGGCCCAGTCCCCGTACTCATTATATGCCTTTATTATTTCGACTATCGTCCAACATGAGTATGGGCTGCATACACAATAAATCAAACTTCAATTTATTGAACGGTTAACATCTTCAAATTGAAATTAGATCATATTTATTGACATATAACACTAAAATAATGAATACACTTTATTCTATACAACTATTATTATCTTCCATCTATATACTTGTACCACGTATTTACGTTTCCTTGTTTAAACACTCGCAATTTACGGTTAAATTATGATGATTATAGTGTTCAATAGTTACGTCCTTGGTAGACTAAATAATGATTTTCAGTCCACACATTTCGAGTAAGCATTGTATAGGGATGTGCCACTAGGCACTTTGTAGTACCTTTGAGGAGTTTCGAGTCTTACTACTCTCGGAGCCCGGCCATGAACCAGGCTCGTCAGTAAAGCGACATCACACCGAGCGAATGAAAAGTCACAATACCGTGACTGGAACAATACACAAATAACCCGCACATAGAATGGAACTTGTGACGACGTTACAGTCCGACTTGGACCATTAAACACGTGTAATCTACCTTGTCCATAATTAATGTCGCATTTGCTTTGTCTGCTTTCGTTAGGTGAAGTCTAGAGGAAAAATAAACATGCACGCGCCTATTAATGGTCCAAGTCGGACCGTAATGTCACACAATTTCATTCTGCGACACCACACATTATAACATTAAAATCCTTCACTGATACTCACCTTGTGTGTGTGTGTATTTCAGTAATTAATGACACTCAGGAGATGCGGAGAGTAGCAGCAGCAGGTGCTGTTGTAGCCGTGGCAACCGGTTTGAGTGAGGGGGCACCCCACCTCCTGCCTTAAATACCCCTCAGCCACATGCCCGCCATTGTACTGCCAAAGACTCTTCCAGAAATATATAGTAATGCCTGGCTCACGTGATAACTCAGCTCCTACTCGAATATTATTAGATGTACTTAGCTTTGCTAGTATCATTCCTAGCTTGGGAAAGCTAGTAATGAGGGAATGAGGCGAGGTGGAGGAGTAAGAGTGTGAGAATCATAGACGACATGATCACTCTTGCCACCGTTGCTTTAACAAAATTAGTTTTGCTATCAAATTAAAAAACAAAGTTATAAAATAACCAGTAAAGCGAGGCACGATCAGAATCATTTACCCAGCTGGGTTAAAATTCATGATGTATTTAAATTAAAGTAACATTCCCCATGAAGAAATGGGTGGATTATTGAGCAGTGGCAGCAGTGAGGGAACACTTCATAGAATCATCTAGACGAGTCAAGAAACGTTGCCGGAAGTGACGATTTAATGGCGGCGGCGCTGTTGCCAACGTTAAACTTCCGCTAGTCCTTTTATTCATTGGGGAAGAGTGGGAGGGAGTTCTAGAGCGTTAAATCCGTAAGGGTCATGCAGCACCTTTGGGAAATGAGATAGCTTCAGTTCCCTGGATCAAGAGTCCTTCACCTTGAAGATATGTACGCTTAGAAGTCTGAAACGTACATACTCACGCACACGTGTGTGTGTGTGTGTGTTGTGTGTGTATATATATATATATGTGTGTGTGTGCGTGTGCGTGTGTGTGTGTCTCAAGAAATCGTAATGACACGATTGCAAATAAACCATACCCCCGGCCGGGATTGAACCCGCGGTCATAGAGTCTCAAAACTCCAGCCCGTCGCGTTAGCCACTAGACCAGCCAGCCACAATAAGATTCATCCAACTAGGTATATTTCTACACCATAGGAAAGTTAGCACAGGCACCTCTGTGACCACAAATGCAAGTTTTTACAGACGAATCTCCAGCTAGCGTGGCCGTGACGAACTCTAGCTCAAGTCCCTTCACTGCCGTCAACATGCAAGGCAGGTCCAAGTCTCCTACTGGCTTAAGCCAATGCCCCAACCTAGCCAGGTCAGGTCACATTCACTTAAGGAACACGACAACTGACCTAGTAGCACAAGCTAATCAGGTCCAACTCACACCCACCCACGTGTATTTATCTAAAAATTAATTTTTACATTGACAAACGTATAATAGAAAATTTTAGAAAAGATTTAATTTTAAGAGTTCTTGCTAATTGACCAGTTTTACCTATTCGGCACATTTTATGTGTACTCACCTATTTGTGGTTGCAGGGGTCGAGTCTTAGCTCCTGTATGTATGTGTGCGCGCACGCAAATATCGCGAACGAGGTAAACAAAAGATAAGATATAAAACAACCACCGGAGTTGAATGATAGTTCTAGGCCTTTCGTGTTGCAATCAACACATCAGGAGCTTGCAATGTTGCAGAAGTGAGTAGGTCCCAGCAAATTCGTTCGGTGGAATGTTCTTGCCAAGAATCATTATTTATGGAGAATCGCTTAACCCATAGCGGTTAAGCGCCTGGGGATGGGAGGAAATAAAGTTCAATCCAAGAAAAGGTAAATAGCCCAATTCCTTGGATCAAGAACCCCTAAATGGTATCAAAAAACCTCCCTTGAGGAAGGGAGGTTTGAACCGGCAAGAACCTCAGACATGCGCCTGGAGTATTCCAGGGATCAATGCCCTCGCGGCCCAGTCCACAACCAGGCCTCTCAGTGGATCAGGGCCTGATCAACCAGGCTGTTACTGCTGGCCGCACGTAGTCCAACGTACGAACCACAGTCCGGATGATCCGGCACCAATTAAGTATCCGTATAACTCCCACTTAAAGGCCGCCAGGGGCCTATTGGCAATTCCCCTTATGCATGGTAGGAGGCTGTTGAACAATCTTGGGCCGACACTTATGGTGTTTTCTTAGTGTATCAGTGGCGCCCCTACTTTTCATTGGGGGGATTTTGCACCGCCTGCCCAGTCAGTTGGACTGTGCTGCTGGCACCAACAGCTTGGTTGATCAGGAATTCCAAATTGGGGTGTGTGAAGGACGTGTACCACCAGGGGTCTACCTGGAGGTTATTCCGGGGATCAAAGCCCCCGCGGCCCACGACCAGGCCCCCCGGTGGATCAGGGCCTGATCAACTAGGCTGTTATTGCTGGGGTGCGTGAAGGACGTGTACCACCAGGGGTGCGTGAAGGACGTGTACCACCAGGGGTGCGTGAAGGACGTGTACCACCAGGGGTGCGTGAAGGACGTGTACCACCAGGGGTGCGTGAAGGACGTGTACCACCAGGGGGCGTGAAGGACGTGTACCACCAGGGGTGCGTGAAGGACGTGTACCACCAGGGGTGCGTGAAGGACGTGTACCACCAGGGGTGCGTGAAGGACGCGTACCACCAGGGGTGCGTGAAGAGATTTTCAACAAGTATTAGTGGGAAGCGCTAAACGCATAGAGGTAAGAGCGCCGATACGAGGAAGAGGATCATAACTAAGCACTAAACCAACAAGTGTCAAGGAAGAAAGTTCCAGCTCCTGGATCGAGTGCCCCTTCGCACACGGAAAGGCACCGCCATTGAAAAGGCGATTTTTTTTCTCTCGACTCGAGATTATAATGGGGGAGCGCTAAACCCGTAGGATTATACAGCGCATGTGGGGGGGGGGATGGAAGGTATTCAGGCTCAATTCTGGGAACCGGAGCAGATCCAATTCCCTAGATCAAGAGCCCCTCACCAGCATCAAGGATCTTCCCTTGAGGGGTCTCGACTTGAGAACGCCTCATCCGTGTACGGTAAGGAGGATCAAATTCTCTGAAGGACTGGTATGTTTACGTGGTGTAATACCAGGGATTATCTAAACCCATATTAAACTGCTGAACCCATAAGGGTTATATAGCCTAAACTCAAATTATCAATAAATGCAGCGCTAAATCTACAAAGGGTCATTCAGCGCAGACTAAACCCACAAAGCACCTGGGAAAACTTACTCCACAGGCAATTGCAGTAATTTTGAGCCGCTCACCAAACCTAACCATACGTACGGTTTTAGCTTTCCTTAAGAGGGAAATATTAATCAAAACTAACCACTGACACCAAGGGCCGGACAGCGCTGCCAACCCCCCCCCCCCCCCCCCCCCCTCAAAGGAAGCTTGTTGCTGCTGAGGGGCTCTATCTAGGGAATATGTGCTCCAGTTCCTAAAATTAAACCTGAATATTTTCAATCTTCTTTCCTACACAGACGCTGTATAATCCCTATGGGTTCCTCAGGAGGAATCATTATTGCAGGTGGGAGCACTGAACCTGCAAGCCATAGCATCGGGGGCAACGAGGTTCAAGTCTTATTCCTTAGATAATAAAAATGAAGCGCTAAACCCTCTAGGGTAATACAGCGCTGCATTCCTTAGATCATCCCCTCAAGGATAAATAACCTTACCGGGGGTAATAAGTTTAAATACTCAGCAACCTTTATGAAGTGACTTGGCAAACCCTACTTGTGAAAATATTTATGCTGTTAAGAATTCTCTACAAGAGGTATAAAGCAAAAACCAAGTCGCGTAATATCGTTTACTTCTATAAACTACACAATTTCAAATAATGGAGAGCTAATGTACTGAATTATTTTACTAAGGTAGCAGTTAAAAATCACCGCTTTAGGCAGAGTAACAGTTCACTTTAAAGGTAACTTCCTGTAATGCTGGATTTTAGCTACTTTCACTACCCCTTAAGTATAGGCCATAATTGACAGTACATTCAGTTACGCATTTTAAGGGAATAGAAACTTCAGAATTCCTTTTATACAAAACTTATTAACGAAAATATTTACAATGTAATGTCCTACAACAGAAAAACTTAAACTTAACTGAATGTTGCATTGGAATGATAAATAGCTGACTTTTCAAGCCTTGAAATAAGGCTCGATGAGAAATTTGAGACAGGATGATAATGAGATGAACTTTGGTACGTTTGATAACCCCTAGTCCACTTCCTCCTAATCCACTTCTTCCATTCTTGATGCATCCTCATCATCTCCCTCAAGAGGTGGCATTTCCTCAACACTAGCTTCACCAGTCTCTTCCGTTGGAGCGTCATCCTCTTCAATACCCAGGCCAAGTTTAATCATCCTGAATAAAGTAATTAAAGATTAAATTTTACTTAAAATAAAAATGGCTGTGCATTTGAATACCAGGGTTCAGTTTATAAATTAATCACTAACAATCATGTAATAAGCGGAAAAAAATCATCATTAAACTTTTACTGTGCTATTGAAGCATTAGCAACCTCCACACTACATACCTGTAAATACGTCCAGCATGTACACCAGGATCCTCAAGGGTAAAGCCTGACGACAGGAGGGCACTCTCAAACAGAAGCATAACTAGATCCTTAACAGATTTGTCATTTTTGTCTGCATCAGCCCTCTGTCTGAGGGTTTCTATAATACTGTGGTCTGGGTTGATCTCTAGGTGCTTCTTGGCAGCCATGTAGCCCATGGTAGAAGTATCTCTCAAGGCCTGGGCTTTCATGATTCGTTCCATGTTGGCTGTCCACCCATACTGTGAAGTCACTATGCAGCAGGGAGAAGTCACAAGACGGTTGCTCACAACCACCTTTTCTACCCGTTTGTCCAGGATGTCCTTTACCACCTATGGTACACAATAAGCCTCTGGTTAAGTACGTGATGCTTAGCCAAACTAAAAATATTAACTTCTGATATTGTGAATATTGCAATGTGGCTGCAGCAACAAAATACCAATGAATCTTATTTATTTGCCAGAATCACCCACAATGCACAAAGCTTTAAAAAGTAAAATTTCTTTACAAAATAATGGCAAAAAAACACTTACTTTGCAAAGGTTCTCCAGCTTTGACTTCTGATCTTCAAACTTCTTTTTCTCTTCCTCATCTTCTGGGAGCTCCAAACCTTCCTTGGTGACAGAGACAAGCTGTTTACCATCATATTCTTTCAGCTGCTGAACACAGTACTCGTCAATTGGTTCTGTCATGTAAATTACTTCAAAGCCCCTCTTCTTAACTCTCTCCACAAAGGCAGAGTTGTGTACCTGCTCACGATTTTCTCCAGTGATGTAGTAGATGTGCTTTTGATTGTCCTTCATGCGGGAGGTATAATCCTTCAGTGAACACATGTCATCACCAGAAGCAGATGTGTGGTACCGCAGAAATTCTGCCAACTTCTTGCGGTTTGTAGAATCTTCATGGATGCCTAGCTTAATATTCTTAGAGAAGTTTTCATAGAATTTCTTGTAGTTGTCCTTGTCTTCAATCAATTCTTCAAACAATTCAAGAGCTTTTTTCACCAAGTTCTTCCGGATCACTTTTAGGATCTTATTTTGCTGAAGCATCTCTCTCGAAATGTTCAAAGGCAGATCTTCCGAATCTACAACACCATTCAAGAAGTTAAGATATTCTGGGATGAGTTCTTCACAATTTTCCATAATGAATACCCTACGAACATAGAGCTTTATCTTGTTCTTCTGCTTGCGGTTCTCGAAGAGATCAAATGGAGCTCGACGAGGTAGGAAGAGCAAAGCACGGAACTCTAGCTGGCCCTCGACACTGAAGTGCTTAACAGCCAAGTGGTCCTCCCAGTCATTGGTTAGAGATTTGTAAAACTCTCCATATTCTTCCTGAGAAATATCATCAGGGTTGCGAGTCCAAAGAGGCTTAGTTTTATTTAGCTCTTCATCTTCAGTGTACTTTTCTTTTACAGTCTTCTTTTTCTTAGCTCCATCTTTTTTGTCAGCATCTTCATCTTCACCAATATCTTCTATCTTTGGTTTTTCTTCATCCTTCTCTTTACTCTCATCTTCTTTTTCCTTGTTCTCATCTTTCTCATCCTTATCCTTCTCTTCTTTTTCCTCCTCTTCATCATCAGACACTTCCTGGAGAAAAAAAAAATAAAAACCAATAAGTACTGGATAGTAAACAGTATCCATTTATCTCTTATCCCACTCAACTTTAAAATGCATTATTACCCTACAGAATGGAAGGCAAATGGTCCACAGGTAATCAGAAAGGCGTGTTTTACACAACCACTTAATGTTCCTCGAACTGCCGAAGCATTAAATATTAATAAGGAATACGTATTTTATAAAAAGTTAATTCAACAAGCCAAGTGATTGGTTAAACTAGATACAAATTTGAACAATCATAGGACACTAAACCTGAAGGGGAGTGGTAGATGGCCATCATAGTGCATAAGGAATTAAAACTAGGTTTGATCCCAGGTTCCTACAATTTCTTACACTGAAGAAACTTTCAGGTATCAGACCATACCCCACCAATCCATTCCAAGGAGAGGTTAAAGATGCATAGTAATTTTAAGCAGGAGGCACTTACAAGCAACCCACAAGTTGAATTTCAACTTGCATTTCAGATATTTGGGGCAATTTCTGAAAATAGTTTAAACCAATATCGGCAATAAATTTAAATCTAAATATTAAACCCTTAGTCTACCCATTTGTCCCCTATCTTTACTGCCTGCATTAGTTTTCTTTATTAGCCTTTCAAGAGTACAGTACATGAATAAAAAAGTGTCAGAAGGAAGCTTAACTGTTAGATTCATAACCTGTGTAAATGGAAAGTTATGCTGATACAAGAGCAATGGAGCCTATGCCTAAACCATGGGCTTCTATAACTTAAATCTAAAAGATTTCGAAAACTCGAAGTTACTCAGATTTCACTTGCATTACTGGGAAAGAGCTAACAGACAAATCAATTATACAAGGCAAATATCGAAGGCAACATACAAGAAAAAAAAATCACGTGCATTACAGAATGGTATGTGAATTAGTTTAACCGAGGAAAATCTCAAAGAGTAACTTTAGTAAATTACAAACATCACTTCATACTAAAACCTTCAGAAACAAGGTAGTTTTGTTGAAAAAGCAACTAAATGCAGGGTAAATAAAATAAGTGTTGGGGACAAGGGAAGACAAGAACAAAGGAAATGGGTACTTGCACAAGGTACTAGGGCATAAATGAAAAGGCATCAGCTAGTTTTATCCATCAACAATTTTCCTGCAGGACAGGAAAAAATTACAAAGACATACCTTGTCCCTCTCCTTCTCTACCACAAGTTTAATGGGATAGCCAATGAACTGGGAATGCTTTTTCACTATTTCTTTGATGCGCCTTTCCTCTAGATATTCAGTTTGGTCCTCCTTCAGGCTTAGAGTGATCATTGTACCTCTGCCAAGTGGCTCTCCTGAAAGTTGAAAATTGTGGTTTGACACTACCTTATACGTATATAGTATTACACTATTTTTCTTCCCAATTATAATGTCATCAAACTGAACCGTTCATCTACAACCGATTAGAGAACCAACAAGTTGATAAATTAGACATATGCAAAATACTAGTGTTGCAAGTCTTAATCAGTTTTAAACTAAGCAAATTAAAGAGGCACTAAATTTTAAGTGGGAAGAAGGCCTGGAGAATGGCAAATTCCATGCCAGTGGGAGGATAACTGCTAGTTTAGATAAAGAGCCATCACTGGCATTAATAACTCCCAAGAGGGAACAAAGAATCATTATAAATATCCATCATACCCTACCATAGACAAGAACAGTAAAGAAACTTTTTTCCAATTTAAGGCAAAAAATAATTTGATAAATAATGAACCATAGCTATCTGCAAACAGTACTCAAAAGTGCATTTTTTTTATCTACTGACCATGATCTGTGCGGACTGTAAAGGAACCCCCTGCAGAGGACTCCCAAATGTACTGTTCGTCATCATTGTTCTTTGAGATCACCGTCACCTTATCAGCTACCAGGTAAGCAGAGTAGAAACCCACACCAAACTGACCAATCATAGAAATGTCAGCCCCAGCTTGCAAAGCTTCCATAAAAGCCTTTGTGCCCGACTTTGCAATAGTTCCCAGGTTGTTTACAAGATCTGCCTTAGTCATGCCAATGCCACTGTGAAAATTAAGTTGTGAAATTAGGAAATTTGCAGATATAAATTACTTTAAAATTAAGAAACTCAAGTATCAGGAATGTTTATCAAACATACTGTGGGAGGGATTATGACAGCAGGCACTGTCACCAGTCCACCCCCTTCAGTCGCAAATTATTTCATCATTAAATTAAATCTCAGGAAACTAACTGTGAAAGATTTACCTGTCAATTATAGTAAGGGTTCGGTCATTTTTGTTGGGCACAAGTTTGATGAACAACTCTTTGCCAGAGTCCAACTTTGAAGGATCCGTTAGAGATTCATATCTGATTTTATCCAAGGCATCTGATGAATTGGATATCAATTCCCTGAGAAAGATTTCTTTATTACTGTAGAATGTGTTAATGATCAGAGACATTAACTGGGCAATCTCTGCCTGGAAGGCAAAGGTTTCCACATCATCCATGGTTTCTTCAGGCATCTGAAAAAAGATAGAATTATTTGAGCACCTGGCCACACAAAAACAGAATTATCATGGGGCGCTGAACCCATACGATTATAGTGCCTGTGGGGGGGAAGGGGGGAATGGAAGGCATTCAGGCGCAATTCAGGGAACTGGAGCACAGATCTAGTTCCCAAGATCAAGAGCCCCTCACCAGCTTAAAGGAACCTCGAGGGGACAAGAACAGAAGAATGGAGGAAACTGTAGCAGGCCTACTGGCCCATACCAGACAGGTCCTCTCAAAATCCAACACTGGAGGAACACTGCAGCAGGCCTAATGGCTTGTATGTGGTTTTAACTGCCTTTGTTTATGCCAGTCTTCAGTTCTTGTACACTTCAAAAGTATCTCCCATCATTCTACATCTCAATAGTGAAGCTCAAGTGCTCTCGATCTATCCTTGACTGAATTACTGAGAACTTTCATTCGGTATAGTACATAATTTTGAAAGCCTTTTGCTCTGCCACCTAAAAGTACGTATCATGTAGATACGACAAACTTATTTACAACTGTTCTCGTCCTGGAAGCTGGTCTAGTAAAAAAAAAAAAAAAATCCCCTTTAAGGTTTAAATTAAAATTGGAATCACACCAAAGAACATTCTCTATTTGAAGAGGGATAACCAGACCAACCAGGATGCAATTCAACTTTTAAAACAAGAGGGCTAGTAGCAACAGCCTGGTCGATCTGGGAAGCCACTGGAAGTATTACTACTCTGGGCATAGGGGTAACCCAAAACACAGAGTACTGCAATGATTGAACAAACAAGGGTAGCCCAGGTCCATCTCCCCCACACTACTTCATCCAACCTAGTTACTAAGGCTACCCAAGGTTGGGTCATTGGCTTAAGCCGGTAGGAGATTTGGACCTGCCTTGCATGGGCCAGTAAGACTGCTGCAGTGTTCCTTTATATTCTTATGAATCTTATTACTCTGAAGATAACATGGAGAAATAAACGCGGTATAATGCGATCGTTTATTAAGTGTTGTGGAGCCACTTAAAATCTCTGCCAACTTTTATTTTTCAACCGATTTCTTTTATTTTTGGTGTACTTTTAGAGGTGCATATGTAGAAGAATCTGACAAAGTTTCAGTATGATTGGCCAACAAACTGAAAAAAAAAATTAACAATTTTGATATATGGCAGCATGACCTGACAAATTGGCACTACGGACAATCCCAACTGTTAGAATACATCTAGCACAACTTTGTAAAATGGCCATTTCATCTAATATATCTTATCATGGCAAAAAAAAAAAAATACATTTGACAGAATTTTTGGCATTCACCAAAATATCTGCCTTTTACCCCCCACAAAATCAAAAATATTTGAGATATTCCAAAAATCAATTTTTTAAAGTCAAACACAATGTTTTATATTGTCTGTGAAAATCATTTCAATACAATCATTAATATTGGCGTAGTAAAGCGAAATAAGTGAATAAGTTACTTCCGAGATATAGGCCTAGAAAGCCGGCCGGCCCGCCATCTCAAAAAAAAAAATTGTTTTTTTGCGCGAAAATCGCGTTTGTTTCGGTGTATTTCTTAGTAAACTGGTTATTTATTATTATTAAAGATTCACCGGTATTCTCCCGGCCCGGGCTTTTTCCAAGTGGTGGCCCAGCCTTGGCTCCCTCTTTAGGGAGTGTCTGAGACCTGGTGTTCTAGTGCAGTTATCCTCTTCAAAACACCGTTTTCTATCACTCAGACCAAACAATACAAGGAGACGAGGAGTAACTCTTATCGAAATATTGCTGGTGGACTCGCACCATATTATTGCCTATTTTATTCAGTCTAGAGTATATAACATTTTTGCTATTTATAGTGTTTATTATATCATATTAGATCAATTCTGATAGATAAAGCCGAGTGTTCCCAGATGGCTCCCGATTGGCTGGCACTCTACTGATAAGCTCCACCTCCTCTTATATGATGCCAAATAATCAATTATATTAGAAAGAATAATGCAAAGAAAAAGCAATAAAAAACAAGGAAAAAATACCCAAAAATACATGGGTTGAGAGCAGACGCGCTACCTACATAAGAACATAAGAACGAAGGAACACTGCAGAAGGCCTACTGGCCCATGCGAGGCAGGTCCAAGTCTCCTACCGGCTTAAGCCAATGCACCCAACCTAGTCAGGTCAGGTCACATTGACTTAAGGGAGGAACACGGCAACCGACCTGTTAGCACAAGCTATCAGGTCTAACTCACACCCACCCACATCTACTCATGTATTTATCCAACCTATTTTTAAAGCTACACAACGTTCTGGCCTCTATAACGGTACTTGGGAGTTTGTTCCACTCATCCACAACTCTTACCAAACCAGTACTTTCCTATATCCTTCCTGAATCTGAATTTTTCCAACTTAAAACCATTGCTGCGAGTCCTGTCTAGGCTAGATATTTTCAGCACACTATTTACATCCCCTTTATTATCCCTGTCTTCCATTTATACACCTCAATCATATCCCCCCTAATTCTACGTCTTTCTAGAGAGTGCAGTTTCAGGGCCCTTAGTCTATCCTCATAGGGAAGGTTTCTGATACATGGGATCATCTTTGTCATCCTCCTTTGTACATTTTCCAGAGAATTTATATCCATTCTGTAATACGGTGACCAAAACTGTGCAGCATAATCTAAATGAGGCCTAACCAAGGATGTATAGAGTTGAAGAACAACTGAGGACTCCTATTATTTATGCTTCTTGATATGAAGCCAAGGATTCTATTAGCTTTATTGCGAACACTTATGCACTGTTGTCTTGGTTTCAGATTACTGCTAACCAGACTCCCAAATCTTTTTCGCAATCCGTAATATTAAGATCTACATTATTTAGTTTATATGTGGCATGGTTATTGTCCTGTCCAACATTTAGAACTTTGCATTTGTCTATATTAAACTGCATCTGCCACTTCTCCGACCACTGCATCAGTCTATTCAAATCTTCCTGGAGTGCTCGAATGTCCTCGTCAGAATGAATTCGACGGCCTATTTTGGTGTCATCGGCAACTTGCCGATGTCGCTCTTTATGCCCTCATCTATGTCGTTTATGTAGATTGTGAACAGCAGGGGGCCCAACACTGACCCCCGTGGAACACCGCTCGTGACGCTTCCCACTCTGATTTCTCCCATTTATGCAAACTCTCTGCTGCCTATTTGTCAACCATGCCTCTATCCAGGAAAAAAATTTCTCCTCCTATTCCATGTGCTTTAATTTTCCTCAATAGTCTCTGATGTGGGACCCTGTCAAAAGCCTTACTGAAGTCCATATACACAATATCATATTTCATTACCATGATCTACCTCCTCAAATACCTTAGTGAAAAAAGTTAATAAATTCGTTAAGGCAGGAACGCCCCTTTGTTAAAACCATGCTGAGATTCGTTGATTAATTTATGCTTTTCAAGGTGGCTACGAACTGCCTCGGCAATTATTGATTCCATAAATTTTCCCACTATGGAGGTTAGGCTTATTGGTCTATAGTTCGAAGCTAAGGACCTGTCACCTGTTTTGAAAATAGGTATCACATTTGCCATTTTCCACTTATCTGGCACCATGCCAGTTTGTAGTGATATGTTGAAAAGATTAGCCAAGGTGTGCTAAGCTCCTCTTTACATTCCTTTAGAACCCTTGCATACAGTTCATCAGGGCCTGGGGATTTGTTAGGTTTTAATTTATCTATTTGCCTAAGGACCATGTCACTTGTGACCCTAATAGTGCACAGTTTATTATCGTCCTGTTTACATAATTTATCATTACTGGAATATCGCTGGTATCCTCCTGTGTAAAACTGCGAGGAAGTATGTGTTAAAAATTCTACACATTTCCTTATCACTGTCAGTGAGCTGACCCGAGGAACTTTTGAGTGGGCCTATCTTGTCCCTGATCTTACTTCTGTATACCTGGGAAAAAATCCTTTTGGGTAGTCTTTCGATTCTTTTGCAACTTTAACCTCATAATCTCTTTTTGCTTTTCTAATTCCCTTTTTTATTTCTCTCTTTAACTGAATATATCGATTTCTTAATTGCCCCTCTCCTCTTTTGATTTGCCTAATATGCCTCTCTTTTGACCAATCAGATATTTTAATCTATTGTTCATCCATTTAGGATCATTTTTGTTTGATCTGATTTCCCTATTTGGAACATAATTTGACTGAGCAGCTAGAACTATGCCCTGGAAAGCATCATATCGGCAACCATCACCACCTACCTGACCCTTAGTCAGGTCATTCCAGTTCAGCCCACCTAAGTAATTTTTCAGTCCTATGAAATCAGCCAAGCGAAAGTCAGGGACGGAGACTTGATTGCCATTTATTAGGGGAATTCCATGATATATTAAACTGAGTGATTTGTGATCACTCCCCAAGCTCATCATTAACCTCAAGATTATTAATTAGTGTTTCCCTACTGGCAAGAACCAAGTCAAGGAGGTTATTTCCCCTAGTTGCCTCTGTCACAAACTGTTTTAAAAAACAATCCTGGATCGTATCAAGAAAGTCACCCGACTCTAAATTTCCTGTCAAATTGCTCCAGTCAATCTGTCTATAGTTGAAATCTCCCATTAGCACAACATTTTCGTATGTAGATGCCTTACGAATTTCGTCCCATAGAAGTTTACTGCACTCCCTATCAAGATTTGGGGCCCTGTAAATCACACCCAAAATTAGTTTTTCTCGGCCCTCGAGAAGCTGTAACCAAACAGATTCAGTGGCTGACGCTTCTAATTTAATATCTTGTCTAACACAACAATTTAAATTGTCTCTGACATACATCGCTACTCCACCACCTTGTTCCAGTTGTCAATGAATGGGATTGCAAGTTCCTTGCAGTATCTGTCTAGCCAGCAATTTACACCAATTGCCCTAGACAACCATTCATTTCCTACTCCCCTTCTAGGCAAGATGCTACATATGATTGGGATCCCTCCCTTAGACTTAATGAAATCTATAGCTGACCTGTACTTATCTAGCAGCTCTTCT